TGCATTACCCATAGTCACGAATATACCATAATTCCCATAGTTTAGGGTCCTTAAGGTAGTGCAGGATTTATATCATCAACCGTAGTGTGGCGACGGCTGAGGGTTTGGATAGGTTGTGCTCGGATGGGGCTTGGGAATCTCAGGCTTCAGGTTGGGACGGGTTTTGGGCTGGTTCAGGAATATCCGCCACACTTGAATACTTACTCAGCTTCAAACTCTATAGAGACCTCAGCCCCTAAAGATTGAAGGATTGAACCCAACTGCCGTAAAGCCTCCAACCCTAGGTCCCAGTCCTTGGTATTTGGGATTCAGGGCGCAGTGCTAGGATTACAGGGCTTGAGGGTTAGATTTTCGATTGTGGGGTAACTTGTATTTCGCATTTCGCACCCATCCCGCGCCTAGTAGTCTTATGGTCAGCACGCTGTCATGTTTTTCGTATACTGGTCGTTGTTCGGAACCCATCAATCTTGTTCCCTAAACCCGTAACCCTCAAACACCAGATTCTGTGAGACCTTTTATCTCCAAGCCTTAACCCTCTCCTTTTATAGCAAATGGGAAGCATTAAAGCTTTTTTGCCTTGCATAGGTTTCACATAGAAAGTTTGAGCTCTCTTGGGCCTGCTCATTAGGGAAGATCAACAACTACAATTACTATCTTGCGCCATAGCCCCATGCCATGGGGGCCTGAATAATTACCAATACCATGTTGATGGTGGTTGAAGAATAGACCCAGGGAGCCCAAACCCCTTAATTATGGAATATGGCTTAAATTATACTATGAAGCCCCCGATAATTAAATCCATATATTCCTTAATTAAGAGGGTATTGGGCTCTCTGGCGAGTCTCTGACCCTGAGCTCTTTTTCCACCGTTTCCCAATGGAAAGATCGGGTCGCCTGTCGCGCTCCGTCGCAGGAAGAAGGGTTCGACCTCGTCACTCCCTCCGAGGCTTTTTGAGGGTGCTGTCAAAACCCTAAAAGGGTTTAAAGGATTCAGGGGTTAGGGTGTAGGGTTTAGGGTTCAGGGTTTGGGGTTTATAGGGTTTGGGGTTTAGGGTGTAGGGTTTAGGGTTTAGTTCCTAAACCCTCAACCCCCCCCAGAACCCTGCTAGCCCTTTAGTAGAACCCTTAGGGTCCTTCATAGTGGGTATTTAAGGTATATTAGACAGTAGCCGGGGGGGTCCAGGCCAGCCCTAGACGCAGAAGCTCAAAACCCGAAAACCTAAACCCTAACACCCTGGTCCCTAAGAAGCCCTGGAGCCCTACAACCTAAGATGTAAGCCCAAAGGCCTAAAGCCCCAAACCCTAAACTTCAAACCCTAAAGCCTAAACCTTAAACTCTAAAGCCGAAACCTTAAACTCTAAAGCCGAAACTCTAAAGCCGAAACCTTGAAGCCCTGAACCTCGAACCCCAAAGTCCTAAACTCCATGCCTGGGTTCAGGAGCCCAGGAGTTTTGGGGTTCAGATGTAAAAGCGCCAAGATACACTAACAGGCTGCCTGTTTCTTGCTCCGGCATAAAGGGCGTATGACATGCACTTGACTTGGCGTTCCGTGTTCGTGGATGCTAAGTAGTATTAGTAAAGCTTTTAGATTAAAGGATAGTCTGTGAGAATGAAGACTGCTTACCTCGGAATTTGCAGCCTGTTCTTCCAAACATGTCGAATCAAGCCTTCATGCGCCAACCCCCTCAAACGTCATACACCCCCACACATACATCCCAATCCTACTCTGTAAGTACCAGCACCCTACACTCCCAAACTCAGAACTCTTTCTCTTGGAGCAGTTTGGGGCTTAACATGACCGCCGGCGCCACAAGCCGTTACAATTGGGTCGTAATAATTCGCAGTATAACTTAAGGCCCCGTATTATGGCGCAACCCTAAACACTAAACCCGAAACCCTAAACCCTACGCCTTAACTTGAAGGTAGAACTTAACTCTAAGGCTCTAAGGACTCATAGTTTAAGGCTTTTGGGCCTAAAGACCATATTATATAAGGATTTTGGGCCATTTTGAGCCTCAGGGTAAGGTCCTTATTACAGCGCAACCCTAAACAATGAACCCTCGACCTCGATGCCTTTCATGGATGGAGCCTCAAACTCTCAAGACTCTCAAGAGTCAGGGGTTGAGGGTTTAAAGGTTTCATGTTTAGGGTTTGTTTAAGTTATGCGTCTTTATAGCTAGGATAGGGAAAACGGTTTTTCGGGATGTAATACAGTTAAGCTATAGTAAGTAACCCTTATAGGGTAAATACTATTAACAGCTCATCATATTCCGTACTGACAATATACTCCGACAGGGTTGGATTTTTGCACGAACCACGAAACACTAACTATAACACTCCAAGCATCTCACTTGCTATTAGGAACGATATCTAGATTTGCAGCCCTAGGGTAAGAGCAAGAATCTTGTGATGCAGGCGAGTCAGCTAGTTTCGCGTGTCAGAAGTGGTTTGGGGGCTCAGAATTTGTCTGGTGGTTTCAGCTTTAGGGTGTTTGAGTTGAGCTCTTATTACCCTAAGGCTCTAAGGACTCATATTTTAAGGCTTCTGGGCCTAAAGACCATACTATATAAGGCTTTTGGGCCATTTTGAGCCTTAGGGTTAAGCTGTTCATCATGCCGGACCTTGCAGCGCTGCCCGCACCGTGGTCTTTCGCCCTGAGCCTGGCAGCAGCTGGGCAGACAAACTTCACTGGGCTGTAGGGTTTCAGGGGTGTAGGCTTTTGGGTTTAGGGCTTAGTGTCATCAAAAAGTTTTCTTGTTGAGGTCGCCCAAGAATAATATCTTCATGAAGGGCTATGAGCTCTGCTGGTCGGGGTGATGTCTGAGGCTCGCTTTTGTTACAGGGCTTTTCAGCCACCTTGTCGCGGTGTGAGTCGAGAGCATGCAAGCACAACAAGGACAGAAGAGCACCATCGCAACTTAAACAAACAAAACCTAAGCTCTACCTTTACCCGGAATATCCTTCCTTTTAGAGACTTATATAAGGAAATCAAAACAAGGAACCCTAAAAAGGTAGGTTATTCAGGGTTAAGGTACGCCTTCAACCGTCGGCTCCAATCGTATTCCGCATCCTACCCTAGGGCCAGGTGAGGTTTGCAAACTCCGAGGACCAGTCGTGACAGCGTACCAGCCCAAAGCCCTTAGGGTCCATGTACTCACATAGCATAACCCCATGGCTCCAGTTGCCTAAATAGTCCTTAGGGGTACTTACAAATAACTTTTAGTTTTTGGTTCTTATAATCCCTAAGAAACAGCTAGAATTACAATTTTGTTGCTAGGGGTCTAAGTTCAGTATAGAATAGTAGGTTACTAGGGTAAATAATATGTGGTCAGTAACCTACTATTTAGGTAGCTGGAGCCCTGGGGATAGCTCACTATACTTTGGCCTTAAAGTGGTTCCTACAGAGGTACTTTGGGGCCAAGGTATATGCTACTGGATACATGAATCCTCGAGGCCAATGACGAACCAACGCCACCCGCTACCCGCTAGCCTTGCCGGTGCATCTATAAGCAATAGTCTTCAGATTAGGAAGAGCCAGCCAGCCTCAGGAAAGCCTATGCCATGTAACCGCACGCCGTGCAACAACATGATCATCACATCAACATCCTAGATCCCTTATAGATCCCTTAAAGGAGCCCTTATAGATCCCTTAGTGGAGCCCTTATAGATCCCTTAAAGGAGCCCTTATAGATCCCTTAAAGGAAACCCCCAAAAGCCATCTCCACGGAGACATCTCTCGCCCACGTGTTCGGGAGCTTCGAGCCCCAAAGATCGAATCAATCAGCGCCCGATCTAGACCCCCTACATAAAGGATCTTGGGACTTAGTAACTGGGGTTATAATTAGGGTAACTATACTTATAAGTACTTATAATCCCAACTAAGGCACTTATAACCCTACTTACTAAGTCCCATGATCCTCCAAGTAGGACCCAGAGTGGGACCTTCTTCCCTTTTTGGGGGTTCCTTAAAAGGGTCTTTAAAAGGCTCCTTAAGGGGATTTATAAGGGTCTAGGACCTAGAGTAAGCCCTTCTTCCCTTTGTTAGGGTTTAGGCTCCCGTATAACACCCTTTTCAACCAAAAAGGGCCACCCTTTGTATTCCTAGGTTACTCTTAGGTCTAGGCCCCACCTTAACCCTGAATAACCTACCTTTTTAGGGTTCCACATTATGATTTCCTTATATAAGTCCTTAAAAAGGTAGGTCCTTCAGGGTTAAGGCAAACCTTGGGCCCGAAGATCCTCGAGCTCAGTACTTTAGATCCTGAAAAGCAGAGCCAAAGACCTCAGCCATAGCCGCCTAAAATCCTAGGTAGGGCTTTGGGACATTTTATATGTTCCCCTATTGGGCTTAAGAGGATCTTATTTACCAATATTTTTCAAAGGCTTTAAAAGTCCCACCCAGAATCCCTAAACCCTGATCCTCATAGAGGCCAAAAGGGGGTTGAGCATATGGGGGTTTAGTAGTTCCCATCGTAGGGTTCACATTAAGGAATTCCTACCCCAAGAATCTTAAACCCCCCCTTTTGGCGTCCCATCACTGATCCCAAACCTGACGCCTGAAAACCCGTAATCCGACACCTCGCATCTTCAGGCCTCAAGCCCTAAACTTCCTCATAACCTCAATCCTAAACCTCAAACCGGCAACCCCTAAACCGATAATCAAAAGCCTGAACGCCTTCTTAGTCTTAAGCATTTCTAAATAGTACCCGAAGCCCTGCAACCCACATCCAAAATTCTGAGCCCTAAACCCTATACCAACAACCAAAGCCCAGAATATAGGGGCATTTGTAATTGCCAATACTGTTTTGATAGCTCCATCAATATTTATAACAGAATGGGCCCCAAAACCTTATTCTGGTTATTAAGGCCCCTATAATATAGAACCGTACTATAGATCCCTTAAAAGGAACCCTTTAAGGAGCCCTTTCAAGGAACCCTATTCTAGTTATTAAGGCCTATATTAGAGTCCCAGAGATTCCGCTTCGAGGTACCTGTGGTCATGCTGGCAGGGCTTGTGGAGTCCTGGCTGTATAAATCCAGACCTGGCCCCAAGGGTCCAAAGGACCCAATAATTAGGTACTCGGCTTTAGGATAGTAGTTATGTAGGTTAGGATTTTGGAGAGTATATGATTATTGGGTACTTGGACCCTTGGGGTGGACCCTAAAGAACCTACCGTTTTGAGGCCTCCCTATGATGATTTCTTTATGTAAGTCCTGAAACAGGTAGGTTCTTCAGGGTCTGGGGATGGCCCAGGTACCTAAATAGGGCTCTAGTTTTGGATTTCTTCAATTCTACATTATTTGGGTACTGGGTCCCTTAGCGTACAGGGGTATAGGCGGGTCCAGGGTGTAGGGTTTAGGGTTTCCTCTGATTTCAACCCTAAACCCTAAACCTTGAACCCTAAACCCTCCTTGTTCTCTCTTGAGGTCTTTGACATCGTCCATGTGCCCTCGCCTTTGCATGCGGTGCCTTTGCGGGAGCAGCGCTTGGAGAGTGAGGACGCCCGCAGAGCTCAGAGTTTAAGCTCTAGGTTGTTTTTTTTTGTTCTTTGTATTCGGCTTTGTAGGGTTTCCTGACGTTTCGGGGTTTAGGATTGAATTGACTGCTTGTTTTTGGCATGCGGGAATCGCCCTGAGTTTACGCTTTACGCTTCAGGGTTTATAAGGACCCAAAAAGGCACATAAGCATAAGCATTTTGTGGGGATATCCCTACCTTATGGGCTTCCTTTTAAAGGGGGTTTGTATGGGACATCCCTATCCTAATTTTTGCTTATGTGCTTTTTTGGGGCCCTAGTTTAGGGATTTAGAGCTCAGGGTGCAGGGATTTGGACCTTAGAGTTTAGGGTTTAGGGTTTAGGGAGGTAGCTGATTCATGTAGCGCAGGCCCGTGATCTATAACCCCTCTTCCTCAAGGGCCCGCGAACATTGGGATCCCGACGGCTCGATTGTTTTATAAAAGCAGTCTACAATGTAGTGCTGTGATGTCTTCTTTTTTCCGTTGGTACCAAGTGCTTTTTCTCTGAAGCTTCCGATTCTGACTGTCATTCGTAGCCTGGTTTTCTCTAATGGGGGCTTCAAGTGTAATGTTAATTGCTCAGGCTTATAATGTTGATGCTATGTTGGTGGCAGCTATCGGCCATGTTTGTCATCACTTGACAGGGGTTCAATCGCTGAAACCATGTCATAATAAAGTAGAGAAATTACACAATCACATAAACCCTGCACCCTAAACTCCTAAACCGCCTGAACCCCATAATAAGGTCCCTGAACCCCGAACCCTCCACCCTATAGGGAACTCCAGAAAGTTGGAATATGGTTTCATGGTAGGATACCCTATAATTTGCCATAGAAGGGTTAGGATAATCATATTCCAACTTTCTGGCTTTTACCTTAAACCGTAAACCTAAACTCTTCAACCTCAACCCCAAAACCCGACAAGGAGAATGTGCGAGGCAAGCACATGGACTTTTTGGAGCTGCTGTGCCCTGGCTCAGGGGTTAATTAGGGTTCATACGGCTTGGCGTGTATATACAGTGTCTGCGTGCGGGTTTAGGGCTCAGGGGTTTGGGGTTTTGGGCTTTGATGCCCCCGGTTTGAAATTCAGGATAGCGCGTTTATACAGTGTGCGCACGGGGATTGAGGGTGTAGGTTTGAGGTTTGATGCACCCGGTTTGGAATTCAATTTAGCATTCAATCTAGAAGCCGAGATAGTTAATTACTAAAATTATTCCTCATAGTTCCTGACTGCAACTCTAAAGTAGTTATGGCCCTTCCCGCAACTCTAACCTGGAACGCGCTCACAGCGTAAGATCTGGCGCCACCCTGAATCCACGGCCCCGAACCTTAAACCGCAAGCTAGGATTCCTTCTCGAACCACCTGAATCCCAGAGCCCCTCATAGGAGGCCAAAGGGGGTTTTAGCCTATGGGGGTTTAGTAGGAATTAGGGTTCCCACAATAGGGTTCATATCAAGGAATCCCTACTTCAAGAATCTTAAACCCCGCTTTTGGCCTCCCATCAGCCCCAGGTGTTGGATAGTCTTCGGCGTGATCTTCTACATGAAGGTCGTGAGGCAGCCAATCTAATACTACTATTTGCTTAAGAACCCCCAAAAAATAGAAAATATATTCCTTATGGGGGTAATATAGGGATTATTATTTTTATTTTTTGGGGGTTTCTTAAGCAAATAGTAGAATATGAGAGTCGGAATAACTAGTAACACTATCTCCCAGCAGTTCCAACATGCCGAAGGACTTGCAGACGTTGTGTGGTTTCGGGGTTCACGGGGTTCTTGTTGAGGGATGTGATTTCAGCTGCCAGGATCTATGGCAAGTAATACTGATATCTGCATGAAGCCCCTTCACCATACACCCTTATACAACGGCTATAAAACCCTAGCCTCCGACCGGAGTACGGACTTGCACCTCGCTTTCTGTTGATCTGTGCGCACATCCGAGCCGCCACGTTTTTCTGCGCGCGCGACCACTCTTTTCCTGAAGGGCTGGACGCTAAGCCGTAGGTTGAGCCTTGAAGTAAGCCTCCGCGGTGTCCGTCCCAGCAGGGACTACCCGATGCTGCTCCGACACAATGCAGCCTCCACGTGGCTTGGGCCAACAAAGTTTTAGGGTTGTTGAACATACATTTCTAGTTCTAGGATGGCGTGGTAAAATCATCACGCAGCCAAAATAAACCCCTAAACCCTAAACCCGTGCATCCGTCGAGCTGAAGGGAAAATCGAAGATGTGGGCCATGAGTCCATGAGCGCAGAAACCAGGGCGCTGTCCACTTGGTTCCCAACACCTAAACTACCCGAACCCGCAAGCTCCGAAACTTGAAGCCCTGAATGAACACTTGAGGGTTTTAGGGCTTAGGACCTCGAAAATAGATCCCCTAATTTGGGGCCCAAAAACTAGGTAGTAAGGGTACTTTATAGGAACCTCCCTTAAGGGACCTACTTTTTGGATCCTGCCCGGGAGTCTGGGTTAGGGTGGAGTTAGATGTTCAGAGTTTTCTTTGGGGTGGGCTTCTCCTTGCCCACCCTCTGAGCTCAAGATGCTGCTGTCAGGCTTGAATGCTTTTTTGACCTACCCCCTACTTACAGGATCATGGGACTTAGTAAGTGGGGTGATAAATAAGGTAGCTATACTTATAAGTACTTATAACCTCAATTAAGGTAGTTATAACCCTACTTACTAAGTCCCATGATCCTCCAAGTGGGACCGAACTCTGAATCCCTGACACCGAGGGCTCCGGACCTTGGGAATCGAAATTGCCAAGAACCCTGTAAGCATATGCCACCTACGGTTGATGACACATATCCTGCATGACCCAGAATAAGGAATATATCATATTTCCCATAGTTTAGGGTCCTTAAGGTAATGCAGGGTTTGTATTATCAACAGTATGTCATACATACTAAAACCCCAAATGGTGTCATTCTGGTTAACCCCAAACCCTAAATTAGAAATTCCTAAACCCTGAAGCCTAAAACCCTAAAAACTCCTAAGCCTTTCAATCCCTCCTAGCCCGACTGTACTTCCCAGACCTTCCAAAATCCCTTAATCAGGGAATATACCTTAGTTCATATTAGGGATCCTATGATAGTTTAAGGTATACTCCTTAATTAAGGGATTTTGGAAGGTCTGGGTCCACAAACTACCAGGAATGTGTCTATACTACTCCCCAGGTCACTACTATACCATGCGCACCAAAGCCTACATGACACATCGAAAAAACCCTAGGTTCCCCAGTGTCCACGTAAGATTTCCCCACCCTAAACCCTAAACCCTAAACCCTTATAGTACCCTTAAAGGAACCCCAACCCGACGGTACTTATTCCCCGGGACGACGCCCTGAGCCCCAAGAGCACAACGCGAAAGCAGCGACCACACCGAGGCAAATCATGTCGATGCATCCTGTGGCTATAGCGCCTCTTGGGCGGGAAGCTATAGGGCTCCTTGAAGGGATCTATAGGGTTCCTTAAGGGGATCTATAGAGTTTAGGGTTTAGGGTTCTACTTAAAGGATTAAAGGGGAAACGGAGGGACCCTTAATGGGGACCCCTACCCTATAATGGGCTATATAATGGGTATATGATAGCTATATTAAGGGTATATACCTAGGGGTCCTTATTGAGGGTCCCTCCTTCTACCCTTGGAGTCATTTAAGGTTTTCTGTTTCAGGATTTACAAAACCCTTGAGAAGCAAATAGATTAGAAGCTGCCCCCACCCTGTAATAGTGACTATAAGGATTGTCTTAGGACCCTATTATAGTCCCAAAGGGTCCTAGGTACTGTTATGGGGGATACTTCCCTAAATCATAATCGTAATTCCTTATATAGAAACCCTACAGTCTCCTATAAAGATACTTTGGACCCTTTGGGATTCCTACTTGGAGGCCCTTTTGACTTAGTAAGTAGGGTTAGTAAGGTGGGTTATGGGGATTATAATGGGGTATCTAGGGGATACTAAGTAGACTTACTAAGTCAAAAGGGCCTCCAAGTATTATACCACTATTACAGGTGGGGGCCTCTTCTAACAAAAAGATCCAAAAGTCCAAGCCTTTCAAGGGTCCAACGGTTGATGATATAAATCCTGCATTACCCATAAAGGGATCTATAAGGGTACCTTTAAGGGGTTCCTTTAAAGGGATCTATGGAGGTTTTAGGGTTTAGGGTTCAGGGATATAAATCCTGCAGGACCCATAATAAGGAATATACGATAATTCCCATAGTTTAGGGTCCTTAAGGTAATGCAGGATTTATATCATCAACCGAAGTGCCTAATTAAATTGTATTCCGTCCCACAGATTCAACCACGAAACCCACTATCCCAAACCCCAGTAGCTAAAACTCTTCCTTTGGACCCTTAGGGGACAGTTTTTTGATTAACCTAACGCCTAAACCTTTGAGGACCGGGCGTGCGCGCTGGAAACCTAACTTTTGGCTTTCCTGCTGCTGCTTCCCGTCGCGGCAGGCTGCAGCGGCTCTGATTGCTTTTTGTTGCTTCATCTTCCCAGACCTCCCATAATCCCTTAATTGAGGAATGTACCTTAATTCATATTCGGGATCCTATTATAATTTGAGGTATATTCCTTAGGTCTTTAATGAAGGGATTTTGGAAGGTCTGGGTTCCTCTGGTGTTTAGGGTTTCAGATTCCGGGGGTCAGAGATTCGGGGGTTGACGGTTGTAAGGACTTCTTTGAGTTCTTTAGGTTTTTCAAGTTTACGGCTCCAAGCATCTACTTTTGTTGAAGTGTTTGGGACCGGCGGCGGTTTGAGGATTTCGTGTTTCAGGTGTGATGCTCTCGGGATTGAGGCTCTGAGGTCAGGTTGTTGGGTTTAGGGGTTTGGGTTTAGGGTTTAGTTTGGGGTTTTCCGGGTTTTGGTTCTATTGTTCCGGGCACCAAGTAGCAGGGCTAGGGGTAGGTGAGTCCATAAAAAGCTATGTGGGAGTTTCCGAAAAATAGGGGCACCTTATTTTGGGATCCTTGTAATAAGGGTCCTACTATTTAGGGTACTATATTAGGGCCCCCTATTTTCGGAAACCCCTATTTACACTGCCTTCATAGGAATGCCCATGGGTTTGGCACAACTGTTCCCATAGCCCGCAAGGGATCAAAGCAGTGTCAGCCGCAACAAGTTTAGGGTTTAGGGTTTAGGGTATCCTGCCAAGAAAGGGCCAGTTTCAATTGCTCTGCTTTTACATCCTGAGGGGTCTGGGTTGCGGATTAAAGATGTTCTCTCGTAGTATGACTCATGGGGCTTCGTCGGTTTGTAGTTCATGGTAGGGCTTAAGGGTTTTAGGATTTGGGGTCAAGGGTAGGTAACCAAAGGGCAGAAATGCAGAAATGCAATCATGCTAGGTGAAGGCCGAAAGCAAATCTTGCCTCCAAGAGGTTGTCCTGAGTTATCTAACCATTGATATTATGGGAGCTAAAGAGCCACGGGAAGCCCCAAAACCACTGGTTAGTTCGTCACCGAAAATGACATGTTACCAACTGTTGGGGTACCCACTTAGTAGTCTTGTACGCAACAGTCTTCATTCCGTGGTCCGTTGGTGTAGCACCTAATCCTGAACCCTAAACTATTTTGCGGGACTCCTTCTGATCCTATTGGCTTTTAGCTCAACTTTTCAACTTTTGGGGTTCTTAAGAGGTAGTCGATTCTAAAAGTTTGAACGTTCATTTCCTTGGGTTTTGGGCCAGTGAGTTACAACTATAGTATAATGGGCCTCCAAAACCTTTTTGGAGTTCTCAAGGCGCCTATATTATTCTCACTTGTGTTGGGGCTTCGGGTGTTCGAGGGTTTGTAGACGATCCCTATAGAGCACACTGGGTCTTACTGCTCCTCGGGTTCCGGTGTTTAGGATTCGTGGAAGATCCCTACCCATAGGCCGCATAGTAGTTCCTTTCGGGGATTACCTTATAGGATTCTATATATGAGCCCCAAAACCCTAAACCCTAAACCCCGAAATGGGGCCTATGGGTAACTTCCAGCTTTTGAGAGGCGCTGAACTTCCATGCTGCCGGCATCGCGTGCTCCCTTGCGATGTTTGCTTGAGGGCGCGCGGACTCTAACTCTAAACCGTGGGGCATGGTACTCTAGTGACGAGCAAGGCATATTCTATTCCTTCAGTAAATGATATCTATGAGCCCTAAAAAGCAGGTTTGGGAGTTAAGATGATTTCCGATACCCATAAGTCTTCCTTGCCTAGGGCTTGGTTACACCCAACCCCCAAACCTTGCTGAAGTTGAGGCCTTACTGACTCTGGTCCCATAAAGGTGAACACAATAATAAAGTTATCCGTAAGACCGCAATACAGGCTGTACTAAGCCCCGAAACCTACACCCTATAAACCCTAAACCCGAAACCCCTAAACCCTAAAGAGCCAGGCACTATTGGCTCGCCTTTGTCGGCTCTTTGATGTGTCCTTGCTGCCTCACTTGGCCTCCTCGCTGGCATCGGAGGGGTGGGGCTTGGGGTTAGAGGTTAGGGCTCGACAGCTTCTGGGAAAGGGCAGGTTTATAGTGCCTTTTAGGGTTTATAGGGTTGGGGCAGGTTTATAGCGCCTTAGAATGGGCTCGTAAGGGGTTAAGGAAGGGCATAGGGTCCAAGAGCGGTCCTTGAGGGAAGGGGTTGCGCATTCGGCTTGGGTTGCCTCGAAACTGTAATCTTCGTGTCAATGACCCGAAGCCATGCGCAAAGCCTTGCGACGTAAGGCTTATGTGCTGTTCAGAGGGCCTCTAAGTCAAGCTTAGTCTTGCAATGTTTTGCCCAAGGCTTGGAAAAGTCGTGCCGGCTTTGCAGCTCAGAAGTTGCATTCCTTCCGGTTGTTTCCGCAATTGCTCTTGCGACGACGGAGAGCTCTTAAACCCCGAGGTACAGCCTCACCCATCGTTCGTCGTCGCCATCACTGCAGCGCTGCTTGGCAGCAGTTGTGGCCATTTTCTGCAGAACGTAACTCCAAGTTGTAACGACGTTGTTGAACTTCAGCCTGACCCACCGGGAAACGCGAACATCACCAGGTGCAGTGGCTAGAAGTACATAAAGGGGACCACGTGCCACCATGAAGAGGGTCAGGTGAAGCACACGGTCCTTAGCTGGGACTCCAAGTTGTGACATACCAAGGCATCGAAATTTGGGGGTTTCAAGGCGGCTTTGTAGTAAAGTATCATTTTTACAGCAGAGGTTCCGAAGGGTTATTTTTTTAAGTATGGCATTTCAATGATTTCCCAGGTTGTGGCTTTAGTTTGATCATGTGCTAGTAACTACAACCAGGGTATCTGCAGTCGTGACAGATTTGTAGTTGTTTCTGATAGCTGTAGCGGCTACAGTTTGGTCGCTTGCAACTAGAACCGGGGTATCCACGGTTGCGACTGTAGTGAGGATTGCAACCGTGCTGCTTTTCGTGCTGTAGCTGCCATCATCATCAGCGCCACCCTAAGCCCTGAACCCTAAGCCCTGAAACCCCAAACCCCCAGCAGTAGCATCTCGGTCGCCGCCTGTGTGATTTGCATTTTCTTCCTCATCACCACCAGCTTCAGTTTTTTCAGCTTTTGGGGCTCTGGGCCGGTTCCTTCCACCCTTTACTTGGAGGCCCTTTTGACTTAGTAAGTAGGGTTGGTAAGGTGGGTTATGGGGCTTATAATAGGGTTTCTAGGGGATACTAAGTAGACTTACTAAGTCAACAGGGCCTCCAAGTAGGGCTTTACACAGCTTTCCAGCACGACTTAGGGAATCGGGAGTTCAGGGTTCAGGGGGATGTTGGAAGTTTAGGGCTCAGAGCTTGTCTCCTGGATGAGCTGTTCAAACTTGCGAGGAAAACTGGGCGGGCGTGACTACGACTGCTGGACGCTGGCTTTGTGCAGGGTTCGGGATATTGCGGTTTGGACAGGATTCTTTGTTAGAGGAATAAGAGGTTCAACTGCAGGCACAAGAGTTTCGTCGGCCATTCGTAGGAAAATCAGGATTTGGCTAGTTTACGCTCGGAGGTTTTGGGGCTTGCATTTTGAAGGCCGTAGCCCGTAACCCTGTCAATAGCAGACATAAGCCTTAATTCCTTTTGAGACCTACATTTGAAGCTACAGGTCTGGGTGCAATTGGAGAATGATGGGGGACATAGGGCAAACTTTAAACCCTAAAACCCTCAACTCCACAACCCCAAAATCCCAAGTTCAGGGGCCCCGGCGTTTGGGCCTTGTCACTGAGTCGTTAGGTGTTGCTGTTTAGGGTTTAGTGTTTGGGGCTCCGGTATTTGGGTCTTGTAACGGAGCATTGCCCGGGAGCGCCCCGGAGAAGGAAAGCAGAGGACTTTAGCGAGACTGTTAGGGTTCACGGTTTAGGGTTCAGGACTTCGGGCGGGTTTAGGATTTAGGATTCGGAGTTGGTGGTTTATAGGGGTCTGGGGAAGATGTAACCAAAATGGTGGGGTGGCATTGAAAGCTCTCAACCTTAGAGCCAATGTCCTTATTAAGGAAATATCACCGGACCCTAAACCAGCATCACTGAAAACTAAAGCCCCAAATCCGATCTGTGGTCCTCAAAACCGACTGCTTGAAGGAACTATATCAAGAAGCCCGGGAACCCCAAAAAGGTAGGTAGGTTGTTGGGCCTATTTGGGAGTTTCCGAAAATCTGGGGTACTTTATTTCGGTGTCCTTCTAATAGGGATCCTACTATTGAGGGAACTGTATTAGGATCCCCTATCTTCGGACACTCCCATCTCGTTGCAGGAAAGGTGCCATTTGCGCCTGCTTTTGCAGCTGCTGCCACGCCCTCAGCGCAAATATGTTTCAGGTTTGGGGGATTGGAGTTTCGGGGCTTCCTTGAAGGGCTCCTGATAGGGGTTCTATACGGGATTTACGCGGGTGTAGGCTCTACTAGGTTCCTGGATAGTACCCTTTTGCCCTTTGTATTCTGGGCTCCCCTGATTTACCCAGGAATGGGGGTTAAGGGTTTGGGGTTTTGGGTTTTCGGGTTTAGGGTTTGGGCGGTTGGAGGGCTTTAGGAGTTTTGCTTGCAATACTACGCGATGTATCTAGGAGGATTCAGGACTTAAGCTTTTGCGGCTTACCCTAAATAGTAGGATCCTAAATATAAGGACCCCAAAATAATGTACCGCTATTTTCGGAAACTCCCAAGTCTTATGAGCTTCGAACCTGCGACCTCAACCTTACAACACGCTCTACAGGGCCCTGTAATCCTGAACTCCTGACACCCTGACAGTGTAGAGCTTAGAAACCCGACCCTAAAAGCCCGAAAGCCGCAAGAGCCCCAAACGCTGGGCCTTAACATGGCAGGTTGAATTTTCAACACTCAGAAAGACCTTCAAAGCTTGATTTTCAACGCACGGGCAGAAGCACTAGGCCAAAACCAACAGAATACTACTACACACCTAAGGCTTAAACGCTAAACCAGCACATGCTAACCCAGAAATCCGAAGCCCCAGAAACAGATACCCCCCGCAAAGCCTAAACCAGCAAAGCTAACCCCCCCCCAAACCTCAACCAATTATTGTCCCAGGCATTGTGACCTGGCACGCGGAAGCTCTCGATGCTGCAACAGGTGACGTCCTGTATTGGTAGGGGTTTGTTCTGTGTTTGCAGGGTTTGGGGTTTGTTTGTAGGTTTATGTTGGAGCTGTCTTTACACGGGCTTGGGGGTGAGGGTCAAAGCTTTCATCAAGCGTTATAGTGTTTTTACATGCGCGAGGAGGCCTTATGAGGAATTTCGACTTCAGGGCTGTGCTGTAGGATTCTGGTTTTACTTGGAGGCCCTTTTGACTTAGTAAGTCTACTTAGTATCCCCTAGAAACCCCATTATAATCCCCATAACCCACCTTACTAACCCTACTTACTAAGTCAAAAGGGCCTCCAAGTAGGATGTTGTATATTTCATGGTTCAGAGTTTGGGTAGCGTCAAGGAAATGGTTGCCTCGTTTGTGCTCCAGCTCAGGGCACATCTGGGTGGCCATGCGTCCGCCCCACTCACAGATCCCAGTCTCCCTTAATTCAGGAAAATGGCCTAATATACAGGGGCCTTAAGACTAGGGTTTCAGGTCTATTCCTTATTAATTAAGGGGTATTGGGATCTCGGGGCACTGAGAAGCTCCTGCGCACTCTCTTGCAGTAGAGCATTACCTCGTAATCGCTGCAACACCTCGGATTGTGCAGCACACTTGGAGGATCATGGGACTTAGTAAATAGGGCTATAAGATATAAGGGGTTATAAGTACTTATAAGTATAGTTACCTGTCCCATGATCCTTTAAGCAGCTCGAGCTGCCGAGGCGATGTTGGCTGTGCGCTCTGTGCACAGAGCACAAAAACGGAAAGAGGTCCCGGCAACGAAGTGGAGCCGCTTCGAGGTATCCAGCTCGATACAAACCCAGCTTGTGCAGCATGCTGGTGGCAAGCAGCACCTGGTTGCAGCCCCGCCTTGCAGCATGCCAGATACAGCGTGTTGGAACCTGATGTCGCAGGGTCCTCTAAACCTCAAACCCTAAGCCCCTAAACCCTTAAGCCCCCAAAACCCGGAACTCCTGAACCCTGGACAGTGTCTATCTTCGGCCGGTGCATCTCCAGTGGCTAGACCAGGTTCTGGGTTCATACAATCTTGAACCTGTGAGTACATCGCATGCTTTTGTCTCGCCCTAGGCTTCCTTAATACCAGGATATCATGATATATCGGTTTAGGATTTGGGCTTTAGGGGTTTAGGGGTTTCGGGTTATAAGTTATAGGTCCAAGAATACATGCACCTGCATTAACAGACTTTCTTCACAAAGCTATGAAGAGGAACTTGAGTTTGCTGGAGTTGGAATTGCCCACGTAATGCCACTGAGCTTGGACTCCAAGTGGGTGTTTGCGATGCATCTTGTCTCATTCTTAAGAAGCTCTAAACCCACAAATCCTGAACTTAAACCCTAACGAGAGTTTCCGAGAAGAGGGGACCCTAATATAGTTCCTTAAGTAGTATGATCCTTGTTATAAGGACCCCGGAATAAGGTACCGCTAATTGACCCAAATTTTCGGAAGCTCCCAAAGCCAGCATGCGACCAAGTTTACGGAGGCGTGTGTTAGCTAAAGCACGACAGTTATCCACGGCTTCGGAGATTTAGGCGTTGAGCACCCCAGGCCCAATGAATGGAACTTAAAGCCCGAAATAGCAGGCACTAAATCCTACTTAAACGATCATGGGTCTTGGTAACTGGGTTTATAATTAGGGTAACTATACTTATATCCCATTGAAGGTACTTATAACCTTACTTACTAAGTCCCACGGTCCTTCAAGTAGAGCCCAGCACAGACTCCCACTTCCGAAAGCCTTGCTCGGCACCTAGAGGTACTAAGATATGGGTGGTTGTCAAAGTTAGCTTTTTGGGTCCCCTAAATAATAGGTGCCGTGTTTTCTAGGGATCTGAAAAGGGACCAATATGTTGACAACTACCCATATGTCTCGATAAAACTCTGAGTGTTGAGGGTGTGGGGGTAGCGACGGGGCGCATCCCCTGAACCCTAAGTTTTCCTGCAAAAAATTAAACCCTATGTAGCCCAAACTCTGGACCCCCAACTCTAGACCCAAACTAGGATGCCAAGCAGTACCCAAGTTACCCAATGCCAAAAAGGCAGCCCTTTTTACTCCTAGGCTATTGGGCATCCTAGCAAAGCTCTAAAGTCCATAGTGAAGCAGCATGCAACACCAGGGCTTAACACCAAATAGCCTACCTTTGAACTAACTATGAAAATCATACTGAGGAGCCCTATAAAGGTACTATAGCGGCCTAAACAATTATCAATATTATTCCTTAGGGTTCCTTAATGTAATAGCATGAAGGAGCCCAGAACCCTATTCTGATTATTAAGGCCCCAACGGTAGGTTTCTTACAGTGCAGGTACTCAGTGCAGGTAGGGTGTCGGGCTCAGGAGTCAAAAAAAGACAACCCGGTATAACATTCTGAAGGATCCAGCCGTTAAAGACTACTACGGTGGCCTAAATAGTTATCAATACTATTTGGGGGCTTCCATAATTACAAGCATAGTATTTTATTTGTATAATATAACTCCCGAACTCTTATTCTAATTATTAAGGCCCCGACGTTAGACAGGCCAGTGTACAAATACTTCAACTTCTCGGGGACTTCCCAACTACCCTCATATCCCAAACACCCCCATTAAGGGCCACAGGGACTCTGTTAAAGGGCCCTTGGTGGTCCTGGCAGCGCCAGGCGTCCGAACCGGCTGCTGCGGTGCGGCTTTGGCACGAGAGGGGGATGGTCATGAGCCGCTCCTAGCGGCAGAGCCCCCTGCGGTGGAGACGATGCCCTGAGATATGCAGGGAAAAAGATACGGGTTTAGAGCTTAATTATGCTTGCTTCAAGGGGTCCAGTTTCCATAAGCTTGAATTCAGGGGGTACTATCTTCTGCAGGATTCGAAGGTTTAGAGTTTAGATGCCCTGAGACATGCAGGTATAAAGCGCCTAGAAGTTGCCTGTGAGGATTCCCTGAAGCGTTGTATAAGGGTTGCCCGTAAGGGTTTCGGATTTCACGGTTGAAGCGCTTCAGGAGCTAGGGTTTAGGGTTTAGGGTTTAGGGTTTAGGGTTTAGGGTGTAGGGTTTAGGGCAAACCCCATAAAGTTGGAAACCGGATAAAGGCCAAATAGTGCTGGGATTTTCTGTACATTACTCTTATAAGGAATGAAGCTAGTGGGTTTCCAACTTTTTGGCTTCTGCTGTATTGGTGTAGGATTCGATCCTTGCGTAGCCGTTTTGTCTTGTTTTTTATGCTGCCCATTTCCTTACTGAAAGGACGCAGGACCCTGGGCCTTTGTGCGCTTGTACTACGAAGCCGTATTTGGTAATTGAGCCTTACAGCCGTTTAGTGTAGATTTCGTTCTCAAGGTTTTCAAGCGAGTATTCATTCTTAGACCATCTATTGTTGGCTTGCCCTCGAGGGGGCCCTGTCTATGGGTGTCTAAACCCTAAACTGACCCTTCACGCCAAGCCCTTAACCCTATAATCAAACCCTAAACTCTAAACCCTACACCCTCTCCCAGGATGAAGCCGCGTTCTCTCAGGGCAAGGACCCTGAAAGCGCCAAGGCGTAAGTAAGGTTCCTTTCCTTCGAGGAAGGCTATAACGCCTGAACCCTGCAGGCCCACAGCCAAAAAGCTTCAAACCCGTACAAACCCTTAAGGTAAAAGCCAGAAAGTTGGAATATGATTATCCTAACCCTTCTATGGTAAATTATAGGGTATCCTACCATGAAACCATATTCCAACTTTCTGGAGTTCCCTGTAAGTCTTAAGACCAAAAAGCCCAAACCCCCACCAATAAATCTTAAACCCTTAGCCCCACATAAACCGACGCAGGCCATGGATCTTCCCGACCTAACGGTCGCAGCCAGCAACAGTTTCGGCAAGGAGCTGAGTTGACGGCGCTAGTCCTTCAGGGTTTAGGGGTTAGGGGTTGCAGGGTCTAGGGGTCCATGTACCGATGCAGTGTAAACTTTCTGGGTCCCTTTATGAGGGGGTTTTATCGGGTCCATGTACCCATGTAGGCAATACCTTGGCCGTGAAGCACGTAAACAGGGACTATTTCAGGGCCAAGGTAAATACTCTATGGGTTCATGGACCCTGAGGGGATTGTAGGTGTTGCCTATGCCTTGGAGTCCATGTAATGGACGGGCATGAATTTTTGGGATTGGGCTTTGGGGTATTCTACAGTATAGCCATATAGCGACGATAAGCGGAAGTTATGTCACCAATGACACTTTGTAGAAGCCTTGCATTAGTCTTTATCGGAACCCAAGCCGAGGGGGGAGGTCAAGCGTCCGCAAGTAGAACCCACTTTGGGATGTTGTGTTATAACAGTTGTTGTTTAAGCCCAGACCTTTCAAAACCCCTTAATTAAGGAATATACCTTAAATTATATTAAGGATCCTATTATGAATTAAGGTATATATTCCTTAATTAAGGGATTTTGGAAGGTCTGGGAGGTTTTGATTAATTGAGCAGCTTAGGTTGGCATGGTTCGGTCAGAGAGCACCCAACCCCAAACTCGAAACTCTCAACCCCGTTACTTGGAGGCCCTGTTGACTTAGTAAGTCTACTTAGTATCCCCCAGAAGCCCTATTATAATCCCCATAACCCACCTTACTGACCGTACTTACTAAGTCAAAAGGGCCTCCAAGTAGAGCCCCTAAGGTTTCCGTAACCCAACCCCAAGCAACCTACCTTTTTTACAACCCCAGGGTTCACCTAGCGCGAGCCCTACATACGGTTGATGATACGAATCCTGCATTAGCCATATAGTAAAAAAATATACCATAATTCCCATAGCCTAGGGTCATTAAGGTAATGCAGGATTTATATCATCAACCGTAGGTAAGGCATATAGGGTTCGGGCGGGTTCAGGGCTGAACGTGTTTCGGACCAGGGTGGAAGGGTTGGGGTTTGCCATCTGAGGGTCACTTGCGGTTGTTTTTGAGGTTTTAGGTTCCGGGTTTGGGCCTGATGCTATAGAGTAGAGGGTTCATCCAGGGTACAGGGTCTCAGTGTTAGGGTGCAGGGTTTAGTGTTTTGGGTTCGTGAATTCGATTTGCGGTTGACTTAGTCTTACCCAGAGGGTCCGAGTACTCCTTCCTTCACCTCGCCACTTCGTCCGACAAACAAGTCGTTTGCGCAATCAGAGATTACAAGCCCCAAAGCGGCCCAGGTTTCGGCGGCCACAACAGTTGCCTCCTTTTCCGTAGGCAGCATAGGGAGACTCCCGAAGCTCACCCATAATCGTACACGTGAATACAATAATGCAGCATGCATATTCATGGCCATGCAAGTGCCTGCCTACAGTTTTCTTTTTTGAAATTTGAGATCCCTGTTTATTTAAAGCCATGAAGCTCGAACCAGCTAAACGACAAAGTCTTCAGCGTAAGCCTTAAGCACCGTACTTCGAGGATCGAAGGACGGAATAAATCAGCCTGCAGCTACCACAGTTATGATTATATATGATGTGGAAAATGGGTAACTAGAGTTACCTCGCTAACACGAGTATTTTCGGATGACACTCCTCTAACCCTTCAAGTACACACTACGTGGGCACTAAGCCATGAAGCCCCAAGGCTGTTAGGAGATCCTAGACCGTAAACTTTGTAAACTCGTCCTTGAAGCTCTGGAAGAAGCATCTCCCGAATGCCTAGGTCCAGGACGTGCCTCAAGTAAATTCTGTTCCTCAATCCCTATGTACATCTCGACGCCCTGGATCCTATACCTTTAACCGTAAGCTTTGGAGGTTCAGGCATTTGGTTTGAGTGCGACTATGGGGTTGTCAAATTTCCAAAAAAGGTCGTACAAACGCCCTATAGCGCACTCAGCTGAAACTCATGCGGATTATCCCTTTCAGAGGCTTCAACATCCCTTTGTTAAACGTTCCTTATCCATATCATGCTTGGTGGAATGTTGCTGAAGAAGGCCTGGGGATGTTATAGCAAATGCGAATCAAGTCGTTGTTCCGGGAGCCCTATACCCTGAGCCAAAAGCCCGTTCCTTCACCCTGTTGCCAGGGCGGTGGCTTGAGACTTGAAATCCCAAATCCGAAACCTTCTTATATGAAAATCATGCAAGGAACTGTAGTGAGTGCGTGCGGTCAAAAAGCGTTGATGTTGACTAGATGGTGCAATGCATCCGCGGTTAGAACTGTCGGCGATGTTACCTGCTTCCATTGCTATACATAGGGAGCTTAGAGCGGCCGCGCAAGTTTCGTCAAACCAATCATGTAAACCCTAGTTCCGAAACCTGAATTACTAAACTCTCTGGCCGGAACAGCCACGAAACAGTGTTACAAAGCAAAGCCCAACTTCAACAATCCCGACTTCCTTCGCGCCTTAAACCCTAATTTCGGAAAGGCCCTAAACCCTATAATTAAACCCTGCATACCTCAAGCCAACCCTTCGGCCTTCCTAAGCTCCGGAGCCCGAAACCGTAGCTATGACTGCCCATCTATAGGAACCTAACTATTTACCATTATAACTATACCCCTAAACCCTATACCCCTAAACCCTAAACCCTAAACCCCAAACCCTATTCTAATTGCTGAGGCCCCTACATTACGCCGGCTTTCGCATCAGGTTTAGGGGGCTAGGGTTTAGTAAATCTTCAAGATCTCAGGACCCTTGGTGTATCAGTGTCGCCAGATGCCCACTTACCCATTTAGCTAGTGGGAGACGGAGATCCATCACCCTAAGGGTCCATGTGCCCAAATAGTATATACTTTCACCCCAACGTACCTATATAGGGACTACTTAGAGGCCAGAGTATGAACTATTTGGGTACATGGACCCTTAAGGGTAGGGCTCCCGAACCTTCCGGGATCCTGTCTTTAAGGAATATACCCTAAATCATATTAGGGGTCCTTCTATAGCTTAATGTTATAGTGCTTAATTAAGGAATATACCTTAAATCCTTCTTTGGATCCTTCTGTAGCTTAATGCTATAGTCCTTAATTAAGGAATATACCTTGAATCATATTGGGGAGCCTACTACAGCTTAATGTTATAGTCCTTAATTCAGGGATATTGGAAGGTCCCGGCTTTATATTTAGGCTTGAAGATCATGACTAAGTCAGGACACGTGAGCCCCCTGCCCTGAGCCCCAAAGCCGGGTTTGGGGTTTAGGGTTGGTTTAGGGTTTAAGGAATCCCTTCAACGAATGACAGAACCCTGTAAAACACGATTCAACGGCCTCAAAACCATGTGAAACACATCAAAACCCAACACCAAATTGTCAAACCCTAGAGCTAGAAAGCCCCAAACGGACCCCTTAAACCCAAACTACTCAACCTTAAACCCCCAACCACCCTAAAACCTCAACCCTCTCCCACGAATTTGCGCAGGTGGGAAGACTGATCCCTCGGCTTCCCGACAATGGGTTCTGGTAAGAAGTGAGGGATAAGGTTTAGGCTATAGGTTTATGGTTAAGGGTTTGTAGTATAAAGTTTTGTTCAAAGACTTTTCTGTGCTAGTGGGCTCTCAGATTGATTGTTGTAATGGTTTAGTCGGCCGAAGAACTACTGTAGACATAGGCCTACCTGCTTACCTAAAGCGACGCACGTTTTAAGTGGGCTCAACCATACCAACGATTTGATGTTTTCCCTCTTTCTCCGTGGAGCGCATGACTCCAACACACCCATGCTGCCCATGCTTGTAGTATGCAGAGGCTTGAGTGAAGGTCCGCAACCATTTCTCCAACTGGGCTTGGTAAGGGTTCTTAGAGGGCCCACAGGGCGGCCTAGGCTTCGCACAAGGTCCCTTAGGGTGCTTGTAATAGTGGGGTTTCTGTGCGGGGCATGAAAGGGTTGCATGAAGGGCCGGCGCAAAACGTTGTAGTTCCAGAGTTCGGTTAAGGGTGCTAACAAAGCTTGTATATAACCGGCCACTTGCACAAAGCTCGAAGTCGTACCTAAACCCTAGACCCTTAGCCCAAAACCTTAACCATGTTCCTTGAACCATCCTGAACCCTACATAACCTCACAAGGTTAGTAGCTGAGTTTATAAACTTTAAACTTTTTGGGATAATGAAACCCTTTTAAGACTGAGAGTTTAAACTTTTTTGGGCTAATGAACTCGGCAACTATGTAAGAGCAACGGGTGCGTTGGATCGTCTCGCTGACTCTGCACTCGGCACACGAGCTGCCGCTTTGCGGCCTACCCTTAACACAATTTGATGTCCGGAACAGGTGTAGGACCTTGTAGAGGCTTTCACAACTGTGTGGATACAATGGAACTCTATGGACAGGGACTATACGGGATAGGATTACTACTTGCTCAGCCCTCTAGAATTGTGGATCGAGGAATTAACAGTCAGGTTTTAAGCGTGCTTGCAAGACTTCAAGCTAAAGTAGGCAAGCCTAAACCCTAAACCCTTAACCCTTAACCCTTAAAACCCAAACCCTAAAATTCCCACCCTGAGGCTCAAAATGGCCCAAAAGCCTGACATAGCAGAGTATTCGGGCCCCAAAGCCTCTAAACATGAGTCTTTAAAAGGGTTTAGGGTTTAGGGTTTAGGGCATTAAAAGCAGTAAAGCAGTGGAGTAGGCACGCAACGTGGCGTCCCCTGAAAGTGCCGAGCTTTCCATCTCCTCCGGCAGTTGGCAACCGATCGGTTTAGGGCTTAGGGTTTTAATGCAGGAACCTGATTACAAAACCTTGGGCTTTTATTACTCGGACCTAGAGTAGGCCCTTATTCCCTTTTTTGGGGGTTCAGGTTCCCTTATAAGCCCCTTTAAACCAAAAAGGGCACTCTTTTTATTCCTATAGGCTACTCTTGGGTCTAGATTAGTATGGATGACATGTACCCTAAAAGGCTATTATGAACAGTTCAAGTACCATACCCAGAGGGTGCAAGTACCTAAGCAGCAGGTCAGTAGGGTGTTAGGTGCAAAACTCCGCACTCCGAATTGTTTTTGGTCCTTGAAAGCCGACTAGTTGGATACCTGGACGCTCTGGGATATAAAACTCGTGAATACGAGGAGATAGTGCGGCTACAGTTACAGTTTTTTTTGCATTAAGGTTTCGGCATTCAAGCTTTTGCACTTTGGTTTGATCTCGGCCTGTAGTTTGGGGTTTCTGGGGTTTGGGTGGTAGGGGGTTCTTCTGTCTAAGAACGTAAGCTCGAAGCGCCAGGACCTTGTACCCCAAGTCCTACAAAAATCTGTATAGCTTCACATGACCCAGTCTCAAGCTTACAATACCGAAGGAAACGCAAAAGACAGATCCACTGTTGTTCTTGTCGCCAGGAGAGGCTTGCCTGGCGTACCTGGGTTTAGGGTTTCGTAGTTTAGGGGTTTAGGGTTAGGGTGCCAACTAGAACTGCCGTTGGTTTGGTAGCTCCTTGATATGGGAAGGAACTTAGTAGCCTTAACCCTTGAGATGCCCTGACCCTTCAACCTTCAGCCGGGACACCCACGGGCGACAAACCCGTAGGAGGCTTAGGTTCCTAAAATTGTGATCTCTTTTTGGGTCCTTATAATACGGCACCTAATAATTAGGGTACCCAAGAAGGGACCCTAATCTTGACAACTCCCCATATGAAACTTACACCCGCCTTCGGCTGCCATGGTGAAGGGTGGAGATCGATTTTCTTACACTACGTGGGGAGCTTGATCCAAGCGCAGTCGAGTCTAGGTTGAGGTTTCGAGATTCAGGATTCAGGGCTTTTCGTGTGTAGCTAGTTGTATAGGCTTTAGGGGCCGTGGCGATCCAAAGCTAGAACCTGAACGAACCCGAAGCCTGACCCCCTCCTCCCAACAGCTTACATCCGTGCATTGTTTAACCCGACATCCCCAAACCACTATTGAGTCGCGAAGTCTACTTCAAGTCGGCAACCTTCACCCTTGTTGTCTTGAAAATTTGTTGTTAAAAGCTCTATGTGTAGTGTTTCGGGTGCAATCGCGAAGTCTCCCCTAGAAGATCCTATAAGGGCTTAGGGTACAATTTCCATACAGGACACATCGTCTAAGGGTATAGAGCTCTACTTTTACGGGTCATGCGTCCAACTTCCTATCAGAAGTAGTGGGCTAACCTTGTCGCAAGCGGTAACCCACAAACGAGGATTCCATTCGGGCGTGAGCTGCCGGATGGAATTTTGTTTCAGGAAAACGGGTGTCACCGTTGCGAGTTTAGGGCTAGCGATCTTCTCCCCACGAGTATTGGTTCATATCTTCACCAGCGAACACAGGCCTTCGGCTGCTGATTTAGGTGCCTGCGTGCCTGACTCATGTGCGAAATTCGAGAATGATATCTGTCGCTCCGAGTTTTCACACGGAATCGGTTTAGGGTTGTAGGGTCTAGGGTATTCAGGGTTTAGGGTCACCTGTCGGGCTTGCAGTTTCAGGGTTTCGGGCTGATGCCGGTGTTAGCTAGAACATTCCAATTGGCATGACGCCGTTTGTCTCTTTAGACCTGGAAAACTCAATCCCCCGTGTTACACCCTTTACATACTGAATAGCTGCATCACAAGTCTATATAGTAGAAGCCAGAAAGTTGGAACATGGATTTAGGAGGATTAGTGCTAGGATCCCGTATACTGTACCTTAAGGGCATGGGGACAATGATGTTCCAACTTTCTGGCTTCTACTGTAGAGTAAATCTCAGAGACTGCCTGTACCCCAAACCCCGCGATGCATCGGTTTGGTTTTGGGTTTGGGCTAGGGTTTAGGGTTTTGGGGTTTAGGGTTTAGGGGTTTAGGGGTGTAGGGTTTTAGGGTTTTGGGGTTGAGGGTTTAGGGTTTAGGGTTCGGTTTGGGGTCTGACCCGTTATTACGGGGTTTGATCCCTGAGAAAAAACATCCTGGGATTTGGAGCGACGGGCAAGCCGAAACCTAGGAAACGCTTGAGAACGCACGACGCATACTATACGGTGCTTTCGGGCCAATGCATACACCGTTTAATGAAGTATCTAGCCACTTGGAGCCTGTAAAACCCACCAAAAGGCCATGGAAGGAACCTTTTAACGAGGAACCCTCCAAACCCCAAACCTTCCAAACCCGAAAGTCACACGATGTCTGCAGCCAGTTGCGTCGATTGAAGTCTACAAAGGTTCTTTCGCGGCTATGTAGTGGTTGCTGCGAGGAATACACTGCCAGGATGGAAGTTTGAGGTATAGGTTGCTCATCAGCAACGCTAGTATTTGGGCTTTTGGGCTTGCGATGTTCATGAAATTCTCGGGTTTTTATATACGGACAAACGTTTTAGGGTCAAGGTTCAGGGTTGAGGGGGTGTTGAACGGTGTTGGATCTGGGCAGTTCTGTCGTAGACTCCGAATGCCTGAATCCGAAGGGTGTGTCGTGTTTTGTGGCTACAGGCCGGCAGAACTTGCATCATGAAAGTTCAAGAGCTGAGCTTCCCTAAAATTTGAATCCAGAGCCGCACACCCCAAACCCCCCAACTCCATGTTTTAGTCTTGTGGGCTGGTGCATCCCAAGGCTCAGGTCATGCACGCCTTTAAAATTTGAAGTTGCTGAGCCTTCGGTCTAAGCCCTGCAACCTTAAGGCCCCAGTACAAAAGGGGTCTGAGTGAGAAGAGGGACATTTAATAGGTTAAGGAGCCCTGAAGACTAGTACTGGTAAATATACAGGCCCCTACAACTCTTACATGGCCAGCTTGGAGCAGCCTAAACCCTAAACCCCTAAACCCCTAAACCCCTAAACCCCTAACCCCCTAAACCCCTAAACCGCCTAAACCCCTAGACTCTGAGCAGCTGCTTCCGTGCTTTGCGTGCGCCGGCGTTCCTGCGCAGCCATGCAGGCGAGGTTTCTTCGTTCCGTCTTTTGGGGCTGTACGGAGACCCTGCTTCTAATATTTATCTACCTCTATATATATATATATACATATATATATATATATATAGCGACCCTATATATCTATATATCTATATTTATATACATATATATATATACATAGAGAGAGAGAGAGAGAGAGAGAGAGAGAGAGAGAGACTCTTCTGGAATCCTAAACCCTAAACCCTGTGGCCCTATTGTACTATTTGGGACGCCAGTAGGGTTAAGGCCCAGAAAGTTCAATTCCTTAAATCCCTCTGTAAGCTCCCAGCAGTTCCCTTACTACCCATTCCCTGTAGCCGACCCCGCAACTGTGGCCTAATATCGAAGCCTGCACTCTTGTTAATATTTCCTTGGCGTTCCTTCCTAGAGTTTTACCAGGGTATACCCCGAAACCCCGTTCTATCCTATTCTACTTATTGAGGTGCCCATATTACACCCTTTGTGAACATGAGCCCTGCTCCCTAATACTGGCCCAGTTTGCAACACGGTGTCACTGAACTTGACGCCCCAAGACCTCAAGAAGCAAAAAAGCCCTGAGAGGCCCGCGCATCCACCCGGGCATCCAAACTGCAGGCGCCCCACCACCCGGTTTGGTGAGTGCGGATTCCGCTACATGGGGTTGTCTGGTTTCCGGTTCTACTTACAAGTTCCCGTTGGATCCAATCTCCTACCACTTTTTCAAGGGTTATGGCCTACCTTAACCCCGAATAACCTACCTTTTTAAGAATCTATATAAAGAAATCGTAATAAGGAGCCCTAAAAGGGTAGGTTTTGCAATGTTAAGGTATACCCTGTGATCAGAAGGTCATAGCCACTTCTCCGCAGGCTTTTTGGTAGCAGGGCTGGGTTTCAAGGCTTTGAGAAGATCCTGCCTACCCTAAGGCTCCAAAGTAGTTCCTTCTTGGGGTTCCCAGACCTTCCAAAATCCCTTAATTAAGGAATATACCTTAATTCATATTTGGGATCCTAGTCCTAGTATAATTTAAGGTATATTCCTTAATTAAGAGATTTTGGAAGGTCTGGGTTCATATATAGATCGCTAAAAGGCAATCCCAAAAAGGAACTACTATGGAGCCTCTGGGTAGTAGAATATGGGTAACCTATCCTTTTTCTGAGTATTATAATCCTTACGTACCTGAAAGGTTAATGTTTAGATCCGCTAGGACCCTGGACAAGTGGTTATGGGTCCAAGGAGGTAGGATTCCCAGACCTTCCAAAATCCCTTAATTAAGGAATGTACCATAATTCATAATAGGATCCCAAATATGGATTAAGGTATATTCCTTAATTAAGGGATTTTGGAAGGTCTGGGGATTTAGAATCTGGAGCTTGGAGGTTTTCAGCCTTCATGAATTTTGGTTTATGGGGCTGAAGGAGTTCAGAGATTACGGCTCAAATTCTGGGGCTTCCGCACTTACCCTAAGGCTCCAAAGTAGTTCCTTTTTTGGGGTTCATATATAGAATCCTATAAGGTAATCCCAAAAAGGAACTACTATGGAGCCCCTGGGTAGTTTGCACAGAGGTTCAAGTTTCCCTTCGGTGTGAGGGTTCAGGGTGTCTGCATATGGGGTCCCCCAAATTCGGGCAGAGCAGGTTGGCTTTGCTTGCCAAAGATGATGACAGTAGAATCCCAACGTTTGAGGTACAGGACTTTGAAAGACAAACCCTTTGCACCACACGCTGCCAGCGATTCATCTTCTTCAGATGAGGCTGCACACCCTCTACCGCGACTCCGACATGCACAATGCTACCCTAAAGTAAAAGCCAGAAAGTTGGAATATGATTATCCTAAGCCCTTTATGGTAAATTATAAGGTATCCTACCCTGAAACCATATTCCAACTTTCTGGAGTTCCCTTTAAACCCCTGAGCCCCGAAACCCTGAGCCTCTAAGCTCTAAGCCGTAAACCCTAAAGTTGGGCGCCCAACCACTCAGACAGGGCGCGCGATACCCCCCTTGACTTTAGCCCGAAATCCGTAAAGCCATGACAAACACCCTAAGGGCTAATCCGGAACCCCTAAACTCGAAGTAGGGTTTAGGGTTTAGGGCCGCACTTCCGGTGACAGCCTCAGCAGATCCCAATCACAGGAGACTAGTAAGTGTCGCCGTGAGATTCTTGCCTGCATGCGGTACTCTTATCGGCCCGAAGCAGGGATCTCGCTACCCGCCACTGCCTCGCCCTGGCACACCGATCAACTTACCGGTGCCGAAAGCACCACCGGCGCCCAAGGGCAGAGCGCGACCCAGTGTCGCGCCACATCTGGAGGGCCACGCAATCACCCCTCATGGCTCTCCACACTCCTCGGAGTTCGTGGCTGCCCAGCCTGTACCTCACCCTGCTCCTCCCACGGAGGACAGCTCGAGGCGTCAGCATCACCGACAGGAAGTACCCATCGATCCCTCCGAGTCACCACAGGCCACTGACAGGAGCTCGACCGAAGCGACGGAGGAGGGGGACCTGGCTGATTCCGCGGAAGAGCACCCATTCGACTCGCCGATCTGCACTCCAGATAGCAGCTAGCATGACAACGGTTCGGGCCTCTGTAAGAAAGGTGTTGTTGGTGTTTACCGGCCCTTGAACAAACAGGGTTCCACCTACGACACTGCACTAATAGGGATGCAGACTTCGTACTGTACCATAAGTCTCTTCTTCTGGTAACTTTAGATTTTAGATGAGCCCCAGAGCAAGAATCAGGATTTCTGCTGCTCGCTAAGCTACATTCAGTTCATTTCGTGGTCCGTGCACCGGATCCTACGTTCCAAGCCCTAAACCCTAAACCTTTGCAGCTGAGTAGGTAGCCTTTAGCGTTTTGATGTTTATATAAACCTCCCATAATTGAAATGGTTAACATGTTTTGGGCTGGGGTATTCAGCCCCTAAGTATATAAAGCCCTTATAGGAACCTTAATTCTAGATCCCTTTAAAGATGTTTAAAGAGCCCCGCAAGCAGATTTGGAGCCATCACGCAGATTTTTGGCAGGTGCCGGGCGGAGGCGGAGGAGGCACTCGACCGATGATGAACACACAATCTATTAGGGTTAAGGGTTGTTCTGTGAGGTTGTGCAGTGGTGTTATCATCAGGCTTTGAACTTTCAAGATCTTTGAAGGGCTAAAATTTTCAGGGTCTCTAGGGTTTTATGAAAGGGCTGAAATTTTCAGGGTCTCTAGGGTTTTATGAAAATGCTGAAGTTTTCAGGGTCTCTAGGGTTTTATGAAGTTGCGGTAACGCCTTTCTGGGCCACTTGTAAAGAATGCGAAGCCCGACATGCTCCAAAAACGAAGCCCGGGGCCCTGAACCCCCCCAAAACCCGGAATCCTGAAACTTACCTTGGGGGCCTTATAAAGGGGTCTATACGGGCTACTGTAAGGGATCTATAAAGGTACTATAATATAGGGGCCTTAATAATCCTATAACTTGCCTTTAGTTAGTAGGGAATGGAGGAATGGGGAGTACAATTATAACTACTGTTACTACCATTCTTCCATTCCCTACTAACCAAAGGTAAGTAAAGCAACCGCACATCTACTACAAGCCAGAAAGTTGGAACATGGAATTAGGAGGATTAGTGCTAGGATCCTTTAAGCTTTACCTTAAGGGCATGCGGATAATGATGTTCCAACTTTCTGTTTGCTACTGTAAACAAACACCAACTCGAAAAATCCCAGTATCTGAGTCTACACTTTTCATGGAAGCCGTGATGGAACCTGCGACGCGTAGGGAACCCTGACCGAACCTTCAGAGAATCCTTCAGAAAGAGCCGGACCTGCAAAGGAAACCTTAAAGAATCTTTGACGCAGTCCGTCAAGGGAAACCCTAAGGGTCCAAGTATATGGTAATCATATACTCTCTTAAATATTGAGCTACATAACTACTATCCTAAACCCAAGTAGCTAATTATTGGGTCCTTTGGACCCTTAGGGAAATGTAAAGGCTTCCTTGAACCAAGCTTGCTTCATAATCGCACAACCCTTAAATGGACTCATATAGCAGCTTGATACTAGTTCCTTACCATGCTTTTCTGGAATACGAATGTACCCCCCAAAAAAACATTCTAATTCTTGAGGCGCTGCACCAGACCCTTACAAGAACACTAGCATAATGACTTTTATAGACCCTTTCAAAGGTAGCCTACACCCCTAAACCGTCCTAAACCCTAAACCCCTTAACCCCTAAACCATCCTAAAATCTAAACCCTTAGCCCTAAGCCCCTTAAAGCGACGCAGCATCAGGGGCCGCTGGATCTTCTCCCCAAGCGTCGCCGCGCCGCGAACTCAAGTTGGTGGGCCTTCAGGGTTCTATTTCGAGGAGTGTGCGGCTTAAGGTTGAGAGTATAGGGTTAATAGAGGATAGGGTTTAGGGTTTAGGGTTTAGGGTTTAGGGCTTAAGGTTGAGGGTTTATAGGGTTTAGGGCTTTGAAGACTATCTATGATACAATACTTATAAAGCTAGGATGCCCCGTAGTACCCTCATTCCCTTTTTGTAGTCCTAGGTTCCTTGTAAAGTTACCCAATACTGGGCTTCAGGTTTTGGAAGTAAAGAGGCTTGGGGTTTCGGACGTGTGAGGCGTCAGAGTGTTATCAGGGTTTGAGGCTCGATGAGGCTATTACCCTTTCCCTAAGGCTCTAAGGACTCAATTTGTAAGGCTTCTGGGCCTAAAGACCATACTATATAAGGCTTTTGGGCCATTTTGAGCCTTAGGGTTTGGGTCCATGTACCCAACAAGTATTTAACTGTTGGCCTTAAAGTAGTCCTTGTATTAATATAGGTACTTTGGTGCCGCAGTCTATTCTAAACCCCTAAACCCCTAAGCCATATTTGGGTGGGTGGATCCTTATACCCTCAGCCCTTCTAGAACCCTTATAGATCCCGTAAAGGAACCCTATTCGGGCATATGGATCCTCAGGGTTACTGTGGTTTTGGAAAGGCTTGGTTTAGTGGCTCATGAGGAGCCTCTTGGGCTTCATTGTGGGTCCGTGGTATATCTTCTAAAGGCTTTAGGGTTTAGGGTTTAGGGTTTAGGGTTTAGGGTTTAGGGTTCGTGGTATATCTTCTAAAGGCTTTAGGCCTCTTAGTTCTACGGTTTTCAGAACCACAGGGTTTCATGCTCGAGGGTTTAGGGTTTAGGGTGTCTTATAAAGGGTTTAGGCTTCTTGGTTCGTGCGGTTTTCAGAACCATACCTTATAAGCAATAGGTACAGTACATTTTGATGATTGCAATGATCTGTATCTGCCACTAATCCCGGTGCACGCTTCGTTACGTTCAGGCTATACAGCACCCATGTAAGTTTGATGTCCCATATCGAGAGGCAGAGATCTATTTTTGCCTTTTTATGTTGCCCGAGCCTTGAACCACATGAACTTCCAAAGTCGGGCACTTATACTGGCCTTAACAAGAAACATTGGGGCGCGCATGTGCACATAAGGCGGATGAGCCAAGATTCTCAGCTTAGGTTTGGGGAGGTTTTGGGTTAAGGGGGGTTCCTTATTAGTATTTAGTATACTGGGCCCCAAAACCCTGTTCTATTAATTAAGGCCCCTACGTTACACTTTCATTTTCGGGTTTCTAAACCGTAGAGAACTCTTATGGAAACCTTATAGAATTCCTGTCAGAGGAGCATCCCTAAACCCCCAAATCCCAAGACCCAACAACCCGCTAGTTAACCCCTAAATGGCCTTGACTCCAGAACCCCACGACCCTAAAACCGCACATTCAACTATCATAACTTACTTTTTGCAAGGTTTGTTGTGAAGAAAATATAGCCTCAACGGTCCATGTACTTATATAGTATATACACTGGCCTTAATGTAGTCCCTATATAGGTACTTTGGGGCTTATATGAGTACATGGACCCTCAACATAGGATTTAAAGAGACTCCATGCATGGAGCGACTACGACACCCTTGGGCCTGCTCGTGTTGTGCCCACCATGGGTCAGCCGCAGCTTGGGCGCTAGATCATCCGCGTTCATGAGTTCGGTGGCCTCAAAAGGTAGGATGAAGATATTCCCAAATAAGAGTCCTTATATAAGGGATCCTTAATCCCACCTACCTTCATCCCACCTTGTGAGGCCTCCGATGAGTTAACTTTCGCAGTCTCAGTCTCGTAATCGGCCATGTTCGTGTCCGTTGGATTGCTCAGCAGCAGAGCAACGGATGGTTTACTCATATGAATGTCACGAAGGACCTTGAACGAGGTGTGCATAGATCCCGATGGGGAGGTGTCTCGCAAGCCATCGACAGCCGAGTGGATGCGCTGGAAGTCACCTACACCACGTGTCCGCTCTGCTGAGGCAGGCGTAGCTGAAGCACATCCATGGGCACAAGGTCCTGCAACTGACCCTGCTGCACAGCAGCCTTACCGCAGGATGCCAGCAGTGCACAGACTGTGCTGACAGTGCCTGCTACGCGCTACAATCCATCTCAAACCCTAAGCCCAAAAACTCTCAAGCCCTAAACCCCAAACCCTAAGACCCTGAACCCTAGAACCTGAAGCCCTACTCACGCCCTAAGCCCTAAAACCCTCAAGCCCTAAACCCCAAACCCTAACTAACCATTGATATTATGGGAGCTAAGGAGCCAGGGATGATGTTAGTCCCTATTAAATTTAAATAAGGAGCTAAAGAGCCAAGGGAACCCCCAACACCGCCCTAAACCCTAATCCCCGTATTTCCCTTTTAAGGAACCCTATAGATCCCTTTAATGAACACCCTATAGATACCTAGGGTTTCGGGCTAGACCCCCATTCCAAGGTCTTGGCTCCAAGAGGGGGTCTTCAACCTCCAGGAGTGGATCGAAACAGTCGCCTCTGGGCGGCGCTTTGTTTTTGTGTTGTGATGGGGTCCCTCAGCGAAATATGGGAGTTTCCGAAAATTTGGGGTATATACCTTATTTTGGGATCCTTATAATTAGGATCCTACTGTTCGTACTAAGAGGGTTCCTTTAAGGGTGTCATTAAAGGGATGCTATAAGGGCTATATTTGGGAGTTAGGTATAGTGGCTTAAATAATTACCTATACTATGTTGGTTTTCCTCATTATAAAAAAATGTATACTTGGCCCCCAGATAACTAAGCTTGGATATGCTTTGCCTTAAAACCCTAAACCCCAAACCCGAAGCCTGCAAAAGTGCGCCTTCTTACTTGGCCTGTTTTCAGCTGAAACGTCGCACTCTGCTCCTTCAAAAATAACAGTCCTCAGCCCTAAGCTCTACAAGTTCTAAGCCCTCTCGATCCTAGGAAACTTCCCGCACACCCTAAACGCCTACATAAACCCTATAACCCCTAAACCCATAACCCTCAGCCCCAATCAAAAGTCCTCTAGATCCTAGAAAACCTACCCTTTTACAGGACTTATATAAAAAAAAAACATCATAAGAGAGAACCCTAAAAGAGGTCGGTTCTTTAGGGTCGAGGTAAGCCCTCTAGATCCTAGAAAACAAGGACCGCCGGGAAGCAGTCCTTGGCGCGCGTCTCCTCGAAGCTCCGAAAAGGCTCCAAGGAAAAGAGGCCAGGTCAAGAGTTGAATGTAGGGGCCCAAATAGCTACCAACACTACCTTTATCAAAGGGATCGTTAAGGGTTCTATACGGGATCTATAGGGGATCTGTAGGGTTTATAAGAGTTTAGGATATGGGCTTAAATAATTTGAATAGGGTTCCTTATTAGGGATGTTCGGTATAAGGGCCTTAATACTTACCAATGCTATTTTGGGGAGTCCTTTTTATTTGTGTTGTATAAAGGGCCCCTGATTAACGCCCCTCCTCTATTACGCTTAAAGGGGGCGGGTTAGGAATCCGAGGTTCAGCGAGGGGGGGGGGGGGGGGTTACGTGGGATTTAGAGAGACAGCTGATTACCGGGGATTCAAGCCACAAGGACATAAAGATCACTTGAGCTCCTTGGGCGTAACAGCCGGGGTTTTGGGGAAACATGGAAATCCTCATGGTCATGTGGTCCTTTGGGCCGGTATGTTTATGTCTATGTACATACACGCTGTGTGTATACACATATATATATATATATGCCTATATATATATATATATTTTTTTTACATATATGTGTATGTGTATGTGTATGCGTGTGTGTAGGTGTACGTGTATATATGTGGGCTCTTCGTATGAAGACATAGAGAAGCAGGATAGGATTCTGGCCAACATGGATTGTAGGATGCAAGTTAGCACTTTTCTCGAGGCTGCACCGTTTTATGTCCTTCGCAGTTTGCGTGACGTAGGCTTTCGGATCTGAAACCAGCATTACACACTGTACTATGTTCCTGGGTAGTGCCATTGTGTTGTTTTGTTTTCGGGTCCCCTTCTTAAACCCGTTGAATATTAGGATAAGGGTACCGTGATTACAAAGGGGCTACCCAGGAACCTAGTGTACGATCTACGCAAGGACCAAATGAATGATCAAGGAGGTCATGTACAGGTCTACTGAGGGTTTTTGGTTTATGGCCCATGGTTTGGTGGACAAATTAGAACCCTGAGCATACCCTATTTCCCAAATCAGCTGATCTGAAGATCCACATCGAACCTTGCTAGTGAAGAAAGCAGGCAACTCAGGCAACCCCTTAAAGAACAACATTGCTTTATAGAACCTCTCTCAAGTAGGCCTCAAACCAGCCCTTTGAAACCCATGCAAAATCCTGAAAACGTCTGTGAAGACTATCTAGAATACAATACTTATAAAGCTAGGATGCCCAGTAGTACCCTTATTCCCTTTTTGTAGTCCTAGGTTCCTTATAAAGTTACCCAATACCAAAAAGAGAGGCCTTTTTATTCTTAGGTTACTGGGTATCCTAGTATAGGGTTCCTTAGTCTACTTTAAGGGATCTAGAGGGTTCCTTTTAAGGGATCTATAGGGTTCCTTAGGTTACAATACTTATAAAGCCTTAGATCGTAAAACCTGTGAAGTCCTTCCGCCCTGGGGCCTCGTGCAGGAACCCTTTGAGGAACCCGGAACCCACGTTCAAAATCCCAGGCCCTAAACCCCAAACTGAGTGTAAGAACCGTTGAGGCAGGCGCTTCAGAAAAGGAGTGTCATTGCACTTTAAAAAACCAAAAAGTGACCTCCGCGCCTAATCCCTAACCGTACCTGTAGCTCCAAAACCTACCTTCCCACGCACATCTGTAACGAAACCTTTGTAAAACCCGACAAAGGTGGTAAGATCCGTACAAGAACCCTTTAAGGAACCCGAAACCTCCTATGACCAGTCTGGAGCCAGCGCTGCCCGGTGGCTGGACGACCACGACGGACTGCTTGCACGGCTTGGGTTTCTTTTTGCTTAGTAGCTGAGTAGGTAACCTTTAACCTTGTTTGGGCGTGGGTACTCAGGCGCTAAGTTTGAGGTTCTGCAAGGGGGCTTAGGGGTTAAGCTTAACGAGGGCTTCTCAGGGTTTACAACCGTGTGGTGGAGGCTTTGGTTTTGTTAACTACCTTAACCCTGAATATCCTACCTTTTAAGGGCTTATATAATATGAGGACATCATATTATGGAACCCCCAAAACGAAAGTTTCTTGCGGTCCAGGTATTTCACAAGGCCTCTATGAAAGTTCTTATTTGGGTGCTCTGAGGGCGTACACGTTCATATCACCAACCCCCCCCCCCCCCCTAGAACTGAACTTTTTGTCGGTAGCACCAGAGTAGAGATTTTGCCATGCAGACCTTGAACCCTTCCCTGGACCTTAAACCCCTAAAAGCCCTAAACCTTAAACCATAAACCCTTAAAACCCCTTAAGCCGGCTCAGGGCCGTGATCAATTCTGCAGCCTTTGAAGCGGCGAGTCCTGAGACAGAACAAACGGCGAAACCCATACCCCTTGAGATTGTTGGTACCGGGTTTAGGGTTGTTCCCTTAAAGAATACCAAAACGAGTCGTACTACTACATCCCCAAGGCTCCCAGTACCGGAATCGTACTTATTTTCGGTCTGAGAGTCGGTAGACGACACCTACTTTAGGCTATGTGGTATTACTATACGGCTGAAAGATTGGACCTGTTTTCAGGTATAAAATCGGTCCTTGAATGTGGAAGGAAGGGGTTTTTGCCAGGCAAGCCTCAGTTTATGGGAGATTGTGAGGAATTTTAGGAGTAGAGTTAGCAGAGTTTTATCAATGTTGTAGGCTACTTTCACGGGCTCTCCTAGGGATTTGCGAGGGTTTCAGTTTCTAATACTGGAAGCCCTTAGGGTTACTACAAGGGTTTCCGTAATTACCCAGACCCTCCAAAATCCCTTAATTAAGGAATATACCTTAAATTCTAATAGGATCCCTAAAATGAATTAAGGTATATTCCTTAATTCAAGGATTTTGGAAGGTCTGGGTATCACTTTACAGAGATCTTGAGTTCAATCTAGACCGTGATTATGCCATGAGCCCTTCCTTTCCAGCATCGGTACCTAAGGGTTTTGGGTTTTAGGTTATTTATGAAGCTTATTACCTAAAGGTTTGAGGGTCCCTTTTATCTGGGATTTCGAAAGGTCACTGGTGGGTTGAGGACTACGGCTGTTAGGTTGATCGCAGGGCCCCGAACCCTAAGCCAAGCTGCATAATGCCTGCGCCCTAAACCCTGTTTTCGAGTCTATCTCATATATCCGGAAATCGTAATTCGCCCCCAAACCCCAAACGCAAAACCTCGGTGGCACGAGCCTCAGGAGCGCAACAACTTTCTGCAGAAGGTGCAAAGAGATCTTTGCTTCGATGGGTTTGTGTCAGAGGTTTTCGCAGGTTTGGTAGAGGGTTAGCAAAGGGTTTTATACGATTCTATATTGTTGTTTATAAGGTTCGACTATACATTGTTTTGCGCCTGGGTTCTGAACGGTTTTTTGGCGTTCTGTAAGGGATAATTCAGGACTTTTGTCTGGTGTTGTAAGTTTCGTGTAGCGGCTGAAGGTGGGTTATTAGGGCTCTGCCCTGCAAGGGTTTACCAAGTTTCATATGGTTTGCCGTTTTCGTTCTGCAGCAGTTGAACAGATGCTCTGTAAGGCTGTAAGGGTTCCACCATGGTATTCTGCAAGCCAGGCTAGCTCCGGGAATAGCCTTGCACCCTAAACTCAAATTCTAGGAACCTTAACCTTGAGACCGCAGAACATTGAAATGAGAACTGCTTGATCGACCTTAGAGTTAGAACTAAAATTAAGGCCTCACCGCTGAAACGGAAATCTTGGGGCTTAGGGGCTTGGGGCTTTGGGGCCAAAGGGTTTAGGGTTTGGGTTTAGGGTTTAGGGATTTGGGGTTTGCGGGCCCAGAGTTAGAACCCGAAACCTAAGGCTCAAAATGGCCCAAAAGCCTTATATAGTATGGTCTTTAGGCCCAAAAGCCTTAACATATGAGTCCTTAGAGCCTTAGGGTAAGACCCCCAAAAACTTGAACCCCAATCCACTAGCGATAAGCATCGGCATCGACTTCTGCGTGAGCCTAAACTCTAAAGTGAATTCAAAACCCCAAAGCCCTAGACCCTTGACCGAGAAACCGCTCTTTAGGGCCGTAACCTTCAGGCGGATCCAAAGCCTAAGTTCTATAGGTTTTCTAACAATTCAATCTTTACCTTACAGGGTTTACGTGTCCTTGGTCGATGGTTTAGGGTTCAGGATCATCTACTCAAAGCCTAGTCGTCTTGAACTTGAATGTGGGAGGTGCGACGCGATCTCGGCCACCGAGACAACGAGTAACTTTGCCGGTATAGTTGCTTACTTAGCCATTTGGAGAACTTTAAACTTTTTGGCTTTACACACTTGGCCTGTCTTCAAAAGTTTGGAGTTTTTTGGGCCTGGTTATTGGAGAAGAGAGGTTGGGGTGCAAAAGAAACAGTTGGGCTCAGCCCAGAACTTCCAAAATCCCTTAAATTCAGGAATGTACCGTAATTTATATTAGGGGTTTTGGGTTTAGGGCTATTAGGGTTAGGGGTTTGGGGGTTTAGGGCTTAGGGTTACCAGGGTTTAAGGCTATTAGGGTTAGTTCTATGATAATTTAAGGTACATTCCTTAATTAAGGGATTTTGGAAGGTCTGGGAGGGTATGGGGTGTGGGAAAGAAGATAAGGACCGGTAACGCCATTCACGGATTGCGGGAGGAAAAGCCGGTTACCTGGTAAGAGGATTCGGACATGCTATTTCGGGCCAAGGATTTCCGTGTTTGGGGCTTCCGCGGCTCAGTGTAGTTTGGGGCTTTAGGGTGTGGGTGTTTTCGGCGTTTCAGGTTTCAGGGCTTCTGCGGTTCAGGTTCAGGCTTAGCGTTGACGGCTATTCTAAATTCTAAATTGCGGTCCACTTTCTCTAGACTCCCTTTCAACATGAATAGCGTCTGTAGATCCCAGAATCTGAACAACCCTTTCAGCAGCGCAGTTCTATCTGACGCTTTCGAGTTTAGGGCGGATTTGCGGCTTGGTGTGTTGCTGAAAGCAGCCGGCATGCACGCAAACGTGTGCGGCATCGGCATGAAGAGCAAGTTGTGCAGCGGTTGATTGTTGCACTTCGGCACACGACTTCGTAATGCCGTGTCGTCATGTGGAGCTGCACAATGTGCCTTAGTGTTATGGGCCTTGAACTGAAGCCTGCACACAAGCAGAGCCTGCCGACTTCGGTGCAGGGACAAGCGCCCATGTTCTCGCAGCCGCGAAAAGGGGTAGGGCCTCAACCCTAAACTCAAAGCCCTAAATTTTGAAGTCTTGCTGCTGCTGGGGGGTTAGGGTTTAGGGGTTAGGGTTTAGGGTTTAGTTTTGCTATGAAGTAACCAGGGAGAAGCAAGTATAGAACGCATCACTTTACGCATGGTCCTGGACTTTTTTGGCCTGGCCGAAGAAGCATTGTAAAGACTTTTATTATATGCATAATCCGCGAGGCGCAGGAGCTCCGCTGCGACCCGGCCGCCATCCGGGTGCATCGTGGCGCCATCCAAGGGTGGTTGCAGACGCGCCTCGCCCAGCACACCCGGGAACGACGAGCGCTGCAGGAGGCGCAAGATGAGAGATAGAGGCCGTGGAGATGGAACCATCCATGCAGTGTCCGTAGGAAACGCCGAGCGCGAGGAAGGCCGCGAGGAAGGAGAAAGCGGCCAGGGCCAAGGCGAAAGCCAAGGCCAAAGCCGAAGCAAAAGCGGCGTGCGAAGCAGCGCGGAAGGGCAGAGGCATGGCTGGCGGCCAGGATGGTTGAAGTCTCGCTCACAGGGTAGCGTACCGATATCGGCGGGCAGGCCCGCAAAGCGGCCAAGCGCACGGAGAACCTCCGGCGCAAACGCCTGAGAGCCGAGCTGAAAGCCGGCGCTGGTAACGGCGACGCAGAGGTCCGGCCGCGGTGACAGGCAAAACGACTTAAACCATTCGAGCCACGCCAGAAGAAAGCTGGAGGCCATCAGAAAAAAACAAAGAGTGCAGAAGCGCACCTGGCGCGCCAAGAAGCGGGCCGCAGCAGTTGCTGCACGAGATTCTCGGCCCGAAATTTTCGGGTGACTGCCCTTGCTTTCTCCAGACCTCCGTCCGGGGCCGCCTGTGCTCATGAGGCACCGGCTGAAGCGCAGGATTAGGAGCACCAGATGCCAGAGCAAGTATAATGATTAATTTTTGATTGACCGTGGCATCCGGCCCGTTGTTCGTAAGATTTGTCCTCTGCTGTTACTTGATCTGCGTTGTCATTGTGCTGTCAAGCTCAAAACCTGTACTTTTTTGACCCGCGTCACGCGGGCCTGTGCTGGGTTTTCAGCAGGGAAGGTCATGTTACACGGAAGCGGAGTCCAAACTCGAGGGTTGGGGCGGGATACTACGAACATGCGGCTGGGAAATGGACCTGATGAAGGTGGCGTAGCTGGTCAACAAGAACACTTAGACACGGTACAATGCAATGGATGGAAGAAGCGGTCAGTATTGACAGTCTGGGTGCTGACGCCTGCAGTGGCTCTGAAGACCAGCAGCCTGCAGCTGCCCGACAGCGAAAAGCAGCCGTCCAGCCAGGCGCAGTGCCACGTGCACACGTGGAGTGGGGGCAGCCGGCGAGGGCGGAATGGTGTTCAAGGTAGTTCCCCCTGTCACATAATTAGGGGCGTAGGGGCGTATATTACGGTTCAAGGTGTGTGCCTTGAGCCGTCAGTTTTCGGCTCCACGGGGTTAATTCGCAAGGAACGCGCAATCCAGAATGACACTTATGCATTAATACGCCCATGGCAGAATTTCCATGAACCAGTCTAGGTTCAGCTCTCACACGCACGGGGTGCTGCATCGGACTCTGCGGCGACGGCATCTTTCTCGCTGCCAAACTAGATTTCCCCTGCCAATTAATAATGCCGTCGCACCACACAGGGCAGGAGAAATGTGCACGATTTGCAGAATTTGCGGTGGCTGGGTTGGGACGCTGGGTACCCGCAGGCTCCGGGTGAAGCTGTTGACTGACATCCAAGCCACTTCTGAACAGCTCAATCAACTGGTGACAAAGGCCAGACAGAGCAAAGACTGCTGCTGTTGACCCCCGCTTAAATCTTGAACTGCAGCACATGCTGGAAGAACCGCACCGAAACGTCCTGAGAGTTTTACAGCACTTGAGAGGGGGGGCCGTCCTTATCATGCATTTTTAAAAACTGGTTGCTTGAGTGGGGTAAAGTGGGTCAAGATCTTTGCTGATGTGCAGGGTCCCCCCTCAAGTGCACTGACAGAAGAAAGTTCGGCGCGAATACGAACCAGCGTGGGAATGTTGAGCGGCATCCCTTCAGGTCGCCGCGCATTGACACTTTCGTTATTCTGCAGCCGTTCGTCTCAAGCTTTCAGAACTCAGCCGCCGAACAGCAACCATGGCAGGCCTTGACAATGTGGTGCCCGCCCGGGCTGGGCTGACCAGCTGGCCGCAGTTTGAAGGCCGTTTCCAGGCGGAGGAGGCACAAGTGGAGGGAGGGAAAGCTGCCCGCAAAACCGAGGCCAAGGCCAAGGCCTGGCCCAAAAGGACTATGGAAGAGGAAGCGGAGAAGAGGCGCCAGCGGGCCAAGCGGGCAGCGAAGTGGCCAAAATATCACGTCTTTGCTTCTGTTCGGCCCTCCCAGGATATCCCTTAAGCACATCCTTAATTTCTTGTAATACCAAATCGTATTATGTTTACATTGAGAACATGCTGATACCGCTTGCATATTTTTTGAATTGGTTTAGATGCGAATAAGAAGTCGTCATGCGATAAGGACATGTCTGAGTTAAATCATGTCATGGTCGATTTGATTGTTAAGATTCGACGATATATTATACGACATCAAATTATATAATACATTTATATCATCTATACAGTTTTTTGTTGTAAGGTTTGGAAAGTTTTGTGAAGCAGTTTAGGGCTTATGGTTTAAGGTGTATTGTACCCCCCCCCCCCAAAAGCCTGTAGAGCCCTTGAAGGAACCTTTAAAACCTTTTACGCATGTCAGGGTACATCTCGAACCCTTACGGGCCGCCACCCCAGACACTGCAAAACCATGCCACTAAGGAGGCTCGAACGGCTCGAGGCGATCATGGAGGCCAGGGTGTCGTGAGAGAATTCAAACAAGGGCCAAGAGAGCGTTTGAACAACAAGCGTCCGTTTTGGGGTAAACTTGTGTAAAAGGGGATTCCCAAAAACCATAGTTTCGAAATCCGTATGTTTAGGTTGTTTTGGGGCCCCTACCTAGCCTTCAACACTGGAATCCCAAAACCAGTTTGTCCAGGGAAAAGAACCTATCACTGCTGGGTCATTACCTTCTAGTGTGTGGGGCTTGGGGACAAGCATAGCTAAGACTCTAACAGGGCTTTTATGGTTTTAAGGTCGGTGTGTTGTTTAACCAAGCGCTACGATGTTGGCAGTCGCGTCTCGCTGTACCAGCACATTACAAAGTCAGTGCAAGGCTCTGCAAGTTTGGCATATAAGGGGTTTCATTTCATTCTAGGTGTTGGGGTGATTTTGGGATTGTTTAAGTTTATGTTTTAGGTCTTGGGTGTACGGCATTCGGTTTCGGAAACTTTGGGGTGTGTGGCCAGCGTGCAAACCCCGATAACACAGTTTGCCAAGGGCACCCCTACGACCGTGCTCGGGTTTGACACGACTATGTAGTGTAGGGGTGAAGGAGCTCTGTGCAATCATAACACCGCGCGGCGGCCGCGGGTGGTTGCGCAATGCAGAACCGAGGGGATGCCTGAACATCGACAGCAGGAAACACATGCAGTCGAAATGCAGCAACGTCGACAGCCGAAGATGTTAGATTCCTGAACCTTGACCGATGGCCCCCTTCAAATCTGCTGTCCACTCTTAGGTTCTCATGCTCCTCACCCCCCGATCTGTTTTTGTCTTCAGCGCGGTAAGTAGCCGCAAGACTTGAACCTAATAACCATGAGCCAAACTTTCGGAACCTTCGCGAAATGTCTGGGTAAGTCGCATGGTCCCACCAAGAGGTCCAGATGTACCTGTTGAGTTGGACTTAGGGATTAAAAATAAGGTGCAGGGTTCACGGACTTAAGGTACATGTGTTCAGCCTTACCTACCAGTCTAAATGCTGAACTCACTTGAAACTCTTCAGTGTCCCTTCTCCCATCAGCAAGACAAGAGCCTGCATCCCCAAAGGGTCCCAAGTACTTGTATTATTTGGGATACTTACCCAACCCTCAATGGCAATTCCTACTGCTGATTTTTATTTTCGACCATGGAAGAATTTCTGACCCGTTGGGAAGGTGAGGCAGTTGGCACTCCAACGGCAGAATTGCTGGCCTTTGTGGGAAGACGAGCAGGTCGCAACGGGTCTGAGGGTGTCAAGATTTGAGGGTTTACAGTTTAGGATGTAGTCAAGGCTGAGAGCAATACGACTTCGTAGTATGTTTGGGAGTTGCCGTGAGACGGCTGCAAAGGGGTTTTTGTTACCCGTTTGACAAGCGGTGCTTTGTCTGAGAGTCACAAGTTTCAGGTTCGTTCTTGGGGTCGTTGCAGAGCTGCGCTATTGCCAGGGTTGCCTAAACCCTCAATGCTCCACAACCCGAAACCTAGATCTCTAAACCTTGAGCCCTGCCTAGCTTTTTTTTGCCCAAATATTAAGGACCATAAGGACTTTGTCAAAGGATACTTGATGATACTTGGGGGGTTCCTGGTGAACCCTAACCGTATCCCAAGGCCCCATCATCTGGAAAGCCTGGGCCGCTAAGCCACAAACAGTGAATGAAACCCTAAATTCAAAAAAAAAGACCCCGAAACCCCAGACGTGCAAGCCTAAACCATAAAACCTAAAACCTAAACCCGAAACGAAACACCCCCACACCCTAGACCCCCAAACCCTGAACCCCGGACCATTGAAAGCCGTAAACCCAAAACCCCTCAGCCCGAAAGCCTGTCCTTCTTAGCTCTTTAGCTACGGCTCAGGGGTTAGGAGTTTAGGATTTAGGGTTTTGTTTTTCTTGCTTACTACAAAAGTTTTATGGTTTAGTCTACAGGGCTTGATTTATAGAATTTCGGGTCCAGCAGTCTGCAGCTTCGCTTAGGGTCTTGATTATGTCATGAGTTTTAAGCACCAAGATGCTCAAATCCCTGAAGCCTTGTTGCCTCTAGACCTCCCGCACAAATTCGGATGAACCCTGAAACTCTGAACCCCAAACCCCTAGACCAAACCCTGAAACTCTGAACCCTAAACCCCTAGACCCTGAACCCTAAACCCCTGAAGCCTGAAACTCTGAACCCTAAACCCCTAAATCCCTAAACCCTAAACCCCAAAACCCTGAAACTCTGAACACGCTCTCCGGCTGAACGTTTTGGTGCAATCTGAACCGTTTAGGCTTAGCGGGTTCGAGGGCTTAGGCCCTTCAACCCTGCAGGGATCCCAAATGACCTATCTGTTAAGGACTTCTGACGGGACATCGACTGAAGCAGGGGAGGGCCCGAGCCGACCGGACGCCCGGAGAGCCCAATACCCCTTAACTAAGGAATGTACCTAGGGTTCCTTTAAAAGGGGTCTAAAGGGGATCTATAAGGGATCTATAGGGATTAGGGTTTTCCGATATCCCTCAATTGATATCCCTTACTAACCCTAGGGATCAAAATAGCCCAAAAGCCTTGTATAGTAGGGTCTTTGGGCCCAAAAGCTTGAATATATGAGGCCTTAGATCCCTAGGGTAAGGAATATGCCTTAAATTATAAAGGGCTTCATAATATGATCTTAATTCAGGGGCTTCATATTATCATTTAAGCTGAATTCCTTAAATTAAGGGGTATTGGGCTCTCTGGGCGGTTTCCTTACCCTTCCATCCCCCAAAATTATAAAGTGTTGGCTCTTCCGGGAGTGCCGGAGAGTAGGGACCCAGTAATTACCCAGAGGCTCCATAGTGGTTCCTTTTTGGGATTGCCTTATAGGGTTCTATATATGAACCCCCAAAAGGAACTACTTTGGAGCCTTAGGGTAGAACCTATGTATGTTAGTATTACTTTGGGTGTAGGGCTTCGCGGATCCGTTCGCTAAGGACCAGCAAAGGGAGGCCCTGATTTCAACAAGCCTCCCAGCCAGATCAAAACAGAAGTTAGACTATCCCTTAAGGGTTCTTCTTAATGTTATTACAAATCTGATTGTCACAGCCCCTGAATTGCTGGGATCCTTACGACGCGGCTGCCTATGACTTTGACCCTAATTAAACCCACTAGAGCCCAGAAGCCCGTAAGCGTTAACCCCTAAACCGAGAGGTCCGAAGGGCGCTGTTGGATGCAATTCAGGCACAGGTCATTGAGTTCTGCGTGTAGTGTTGAGGGTTCAATGTTTATAGGCTGCAGGGTTTACGGTATAGGGCAAATCTAGAGTCTAGGGTTTAGCTTTTAGGCCGCAGGCTTTCGTTTCAAGGGAGTTTGATGTTGTTGGATTCGGGGTTTGGGATTTAGTATCGGGTTTCGGGCTCAGGTTTGAGGGCTCGGGCTAGGGGCTTAGCCAGGATGCAGGTTTAGGTGCAGGGTTTGTAGGGTTTGGGATTCAGGGGTACTTGGAGGCCCTGTTGACTTAGTAAGTCGTTACTTAGTATCCCCTAGAAACCTTATTATAATCCCCATAACCCAGCTTACTAACCCTAGTTACTCAGTCAAAAGGGCCGCCAAGTAAGGTTTTAGGGTGGGTTTACGTTCAGGGTTCAGCCAGTTGTTGGACTCAGGGTTCAGCCAGTTGTTGGACTCAGTCAATAACCACGATACCCAGCCGAGATGCATAAGCCCCACATCAATCGTGTGGGCAAAACCGGGTTCATGTAAGTACGGTTGTAAAACGGAGCTCAGTAGCCTAAGCACGTTGTGGCCGTTCCATAATTAGAACGACCCTAGACCCTATAGTCTATAGAGCCTAAACCCTGTAAACCCTAAACGCCTAAAAACTAAACCCCTGAACCCTCAAACCTTGAAGCCGGACAAGAATGGACCCTAAACCGCTAATCCTTCCAACAAGCTGACGGCTCTGGTTTCTGTAAACCCGAATGACGAGATACAGAAGATGTCTAACCCTAAACCTTAAGCCCCAAGCCCTGAACCCCCAACCTTACACCTTACACCCTGCACCCTAAACCCTAAAACCTATCAAGGATCTCAAGTCGAATTCTGCTGCATCCCGGAGGACGGATCAGTCCAGACATGCGCATGGACAAGTTCGCGAAAGCTGCCCCGGCTTAGGGTTTAGATCCCAGGCCCGAGGTTCCCAACACGCTGGGTTCGGCTGGACAGCATGGCGAAGATGATGGTCTCAAGATGATGTGCAGGCTCATTGCACGTGGCTTGCTCCAAGTCCTGCCTTTGATCAGCTCGCGCAGCTTCCCGGCACATGGAGTTTATCCCGGAAAGCCGGAAAACCTGGCGTTTCCGGAAAACCCGGAAAGTCGGGAAAACCTGGCAAAAGTGGGAAAAGGAGGGCCAGCGGGGTGGGCGGCCGAACTTCGAGGCGCACCCTTAACAATCTGGCATCCGTGGTTCATGCGCTCCTGACTACGACACTGGCCAAGCTCTGGGGCAGCAAAAAGGCGGATGCTTGTGCGGCCTGCATGCATTCGACAATCTTCGTCGCATTCAGATTGGGCGAAGCACAAGCACTGCAACCTGGAGCGTGATCTGGATGCGACAGGTATGTCGCTTCTGTGCAGCTGCGGCAAGGTCTCACTGCCGGCTGCTCTGGCGAGGTCATGGGTGACCAGGCTTCTCGCCAACTATGATGGTGGCTTGGCAGATGCCGGCGCAGGATCCTGGAAGCTTCGGCCCCGCAGTTCTTGCTGGAAGCCTGATTTTTCCAAGGTCACCCTGGACGCTGCTTGCCCGAAAATGCGGCTCCAGCAATGGTCCGCATATTGCCGTTGCAACAAGCTGGTGATGCAGGGCAAGAGCTTGCGGCAGTTGGCTGAGCAAGCCTTCGCCAGACTGTCGCATGAAGGAGCTTGGGAGAAATGCGCGAGGGAAGGGGTTACGGACAAATCTCTGAAGGAGATTTTACAAGTCCATAACTCTTTCTTTCGAAAGGTCATCCTCCACGGCGTGTGGCTTTCCCATCGGGCAGGTGACGTCCCTTGGCTTCTGCATTTAGTAACTCTTTTCAAAAGGCTTCCAACAACCATTATGTCGATGAATTCACACTTGAACAGTTTCTTGATGAGGGAAAGATGTTGCGCTTCCGGTTCTAGGAGTGCTAAAACCTTCTTGGAACACCTGCGCTTTGCACGGTATTTACAGCGTTTCCGTACTATCCGACCACCTGTGCTTTATTCCCCTTCGAGTTTGCAACTCCAACTGCTGTCGCAGTTTTGGGGCCTGAGCCTTTGCAACTTCACCGGCTGTGACAATTAAGGCAAGTGAGCCTCTGCAACTTCTGCAGCTGTCACAGATAGGGAGCCTGAGCCCCTGCATTTTTTGGAACTGCCGCTGTTAGGGAGCCTAAAAGCAGCTGCTCTAGGGTCACACTGATTTCCGAGTTGGTCGCCGGATGTCGCCGGCCCCTGGGGTTTAATTTAGGGGCCTTAATGATTAGAATAGGGTTTCTTTTAAAGGGCTCCTTTTAAAGGAGGCTGTAAGGGATCTATAGGGTTTAATACTGTTCTGGTAGTTGGTAAAAAGGGGGATGGCTAAAATCTCTTGACACTTGTGAGGAAGATTCGCTCGTCGTGGGAAGCGGGGCCCGGCTGATCACACAAGCTGCCTGTGATTCGGTGAACGGCAAGACAGATGAGCAACTTCTTCGGAGCGTCCACACGCGTTCACAGTCAGTGATTATGGACAAACCATTATTAGGCAAGTTTTTGAGCTAGCTCTGCCACGGGGTCAATGGCGCTTTCGCCACACCCAGCACGTGGCTTGCGAGCTGCGCCGGTGGCAAGGACGCAAATCCCAGAAGCGCGGGCGGTTTCGGGACCTTGGCAACGCGAGCAAGCGTGCTAAGGTCCGTAACGCTAGGTTGAAACAAGTGTATCATAAGTTGGGGTTCAGAAGCGTTCCAGCGCTTGCAAAGGCAGCTTGAAAACACGATCCGGGTAATGTCGTCTTTGGGATGTTGCAGAATTTCAGCAGCCGCGGCGAGTAGGTAACCTTTCCCTAAACACTAAACCCTAAACCCCTAAACCCGTAAACCCTAAACCCGAAACCCTAAACCCCTTAACCCCTAAACCCTAAACCGTTTAACTTTAACAGCCTTGACCTCTTTCGTTTGCCCCAAGTCCCACACCCTCAACCGCAGGCTGAGAAACCTGTAGCCCTTCCAGAATCCCTTAATTAAGGAGTATACCTTACCCAGAGGCTCCATGGTAGTTCCGTTTGGGGGTTGATTATAGGATTCTATATATGAACGCCAAAAAGGAACTACTTGGGAGCCTTAGCTATAATAGGATCCCTAATATCAATTGAGGTATATTCCTTACTTAAGTAGGGATTTTGGAAGGTCTGGGCATTCATACCGAAAACCCGAACGAACGAATGCAGGCACCCGACCCGGAGCGCGGCAAGAGCCTTTACGTCGACGAGGCATTGGGGATTCCTTTGCTTGGGCACGTGGCCCTTAATCTTCTCGAGATGGTGATACAATATACATATATATATATATATATGTATATATATATATATATACATATACATATACATATACATATACATATACATATACATATACATATACATATACATATACATATACATATACATATACATATAACACCTGTATGATTCGAAAAAGGCTAGGCTCTAAGTTCGCTTAGAAAACTGGATGAAAGTTCGGAGACAATGCTCATCTTTTCTCTACACTTCATATCGCCAGAAGGTTGAGGGTCCCCAAAGGACCAGAGCTCAATCCTTAGCCCCTACATCCCCCAATATCCCCCACAAACCTTTTAAATATCCACACACCCAATTAGATGCCCCGTAATCCCAATAGCACCTTCAAGACATTGAAAATCTTGATAGATCTCTGTAATAAGTCTACACAACCCTAAACCCTAGTGTAGTTAGCACTGCCGGTTTCGAAGATGCCATGACAGCAGACGAACAAACGAGCTTTTTAGAGAGCTCTGGGAAAGAAGCTTGCCGAAATCCGGGTTGTTTGACGGGATCTCGTTAGCAACTTTTCTTACTATACGTATCGATTTTGATTTGGGATAACTGTTGATTTCCTCTGTTGTTTAAGATAGAGCATCAATTGTTAGCAAATTTGGGAACTGTTGGAATCCACACTTGATTTATGATGTCATCTATACCCAGGAATTCCTTAACCCAGAGACCTCGTATGACTCCCGTACAAGCTAGAACCCCTTCAGGAATCCTTTCAACTCACCGGAGGTTCTGCGAACTGTGACGCCCCGTAGCCGCGCCACCGTGTCCCACACCCAAAGGCTCCATGTAGCCATATAGTAGATATTTAGGCCTTATAAAGTACCCACAGAGGGACCCCTTTGAGGCCTAAGTACTTACTATATGGATGCTTGGAGTCTTAGGGACAGGGCACACTAATTTGGGACGGGCGCCACGCGGCCCCTAAAGCCTAGTCCCTCAGACTTAGACCCGAGAGCGTTGCTCCAGGTCATATCTTCATAAGGACCCTTAGGTCGGTAGGCGGGAGGGGGGTAGGGGTTTAGGTTTTAGGGTTTAGGGTGTAAGGGTTTAGGGTTTAGGCTTGAATACCTATAATAAGGACTCAATAAGGCATATCTAAGGAAGTATAGTCCCCTGTACCCTCCAAAGGGTCCCTATGATATCTACACGGGCCCTCGATGAATGCGACGCGGGCAGCAAGCTCGTGACCACCAGAGACACTACGGTGCGTTTTAGTACCCTGGATCACCCCCCCCAGGGTCACGGTAGCGCGAGTATGAAGATGCGTACAGTGTTACTATGTCTATCTGGAGTGCTTTACGCCGGGCATCAATAGGCGCGCTGTAGAAAGGGTTACGACAGGGTGCAGCGTTCTCCGATACTTTTGAAAGCTGTTATCTGGTTTCATGGTTTGTAGATTGAGTACGGATCTGGAACGGTTGAGGGTTGGGGATTTTAGGGCGTTTCGGGTTTAGGCACACACCGGAAGCCAGAAATGTAAGCACTGGTATCCCTGGACCAGTTTTGCTCTGTAACATGCTCCGACTTTGGCGCCTTTGCAACAAAGTGTTAAACTGTTGGTTTGCCCGATGCATATTCGTACAACTAGCAACCGTCATCCGACCTAAACCTAAGCGGTTAAACCCTACACCATCCTACACCCGAAACCCTAGACCCGAAGCCAACCTACCAAGGGTTACACCCTAAGTATGTTCACCCTTTAGTACCACCCTTTCTTTTACCAAGAAGGCCTCACAAAACCCTGCAAACCAGGCACAACCGTAGAAAGCTATTTTACAGCCTTAAAATCTCACTCAGGTTGTTAAAGGATCCTATGCTAGTGCTCACAATACCCCAGAGGTGGCATGGCTTTTGGGCCAAAAGATTTGAAACATGAGTCCTCAGAGCCTTAGGACGATGTTACCCTAAGGGTCCATGGACTCATATAGTAATACTTTGGCTTTACATATAGTCATACTTAGGCTTTAATGTAGTCCCTATACATGTACTTTATAAATAGGGTCAGGGTGTACTCATATATGGATTGATACATGGACCCTCAGGGTTATTAACTTCCTACTTAAAGGATCATGGGACTTGTAAGCGGGGTTATAAACAAGGTAACTACACTTAGTTAAGTACTTATAACCCCAATTAAAGGACTTATAACCTTACTTACTAAGTCCCATGATCCTCCAAGTACATTTCCAGGGGCCTCCGCCTAACCATCCGACCATCCGGACCGCCGCCTGCGGCGTGCTGGTGTCGCGCCATGCAAGGAGCTGGGTCTTGGGGTTTAGGGCTTACCTTAACCCTGAATAACCTGCCTTTTTAAGGACTTATATAAGGAAATCATAATAAGGAGCCGTAAAAAGGTAGGTTATTCAGGGTTAAGGTAGGGTTTAGGGTTGGAGCTGGGTCTTGCCCTCGAATGAGCCCCTATGGTCCTTAGTAGAGGGTATTAGGGGTATAATCGAGGGCAAACACCCGCGAATTTCAACGTCACTGGCTTTGCAATTTGTATGTTCACTTCGGGAAACGGCATCAACTCGGTGTCAGGTTGTGTTCGTCATTATCCACGTCTCTGTCTGTAGGGGCCTTGTCTGCTTCTACATGCACCTACCATTACATTTCCTTGGCAAAAATCCCACGCCCTAAATCCTGGACCAAGTACGGTTGTGTCTCATGAGCTTTCCTGTAAACCGCAACGTAAGCTGTGGGTTCTGGGCTGTAGTCGAGACTCGTCTTCGGTGATGGTTTCGAGTATAATCTGGGATCCGAGAAATCGGTGGTTGCAGTATTCTACTAGGATGCCCAGTAGTACCCTTACTCCCTTTTTTGTAGTCCTAGGTTCCTTATAAAGTTACCCAATACCAAAAAGTGGAGCCCTTTTTATTCCTAGGGTAAGGCACCGGCATTTGTTGTGTTTCGGCGCCAGGGTAGACCGAGAGTCTCCATTGTAGATCTTTTTTGGTAAGCAGATTTGTTTTCATGGTTTTGATTTTTTGAGCCAATAATAGAAGTTCGGTTAACCGAAAAGGAACTACAGTGGAGACTGTGGGTAATTTCTTGCTTTCAGATTGGTGCTTCCGGAGTGTAGAATATGGCGGAGACTGAGCGGCTTCATGGAAGGGTTTAGGGATTAGGGTTTGGGGTTTAGGGGTTCGGGTTTAGGGATTAGGGTTTAGGGGTTTGGGATTAGGGTTTTTTTTGGGTTTAGGGATTGGGGTGAAGGGCTTAGGGTTTAGGGATTAGGGTTTAGGGTTTCGGGATTGGGGTTCAGGGACTGGGCTTATAGGGTTTAGAGACTGGGCCTTGTGGTTTAGGGACGCTATTCCTTGGCTCTCCTTCGGAATTATGTTTCTTGTTGCTGTAGTACTTTAGACCCACCGAGGTAGTAAATATGTATAGATGCTTTTCTCGGGGTCCAAGGTGCTGATAGCTTCAGATTGACTAAGACGTGCAGCTGAGTTGGGTCCAGCAGACCCTGCTTTCGAACCCTAAACCCTGATCCCAACCGTAAGGGTTAAGCAAGAGCAAGCATGTTTCCTGCAAGCGAAGATGCTTGATTTTAGGGTTTAGGGTTTATGGCTTTGGGTTCAGGACTTACAAATCAAGGGTTTAGGGTTTAGGGCTCAGGCAAGATTCCCTTCCTGTGCTTGCTATCTGGTTCTCGGACTATGGGCATCATCACCTTGAGGTTCGCAAAGGCATAAGCATCATCCGCATTACGAGGGCGACTAGTTTCTGTGAACCATGTCTACCAGGACTTCTCCGAGAGTTTAGGATGTAGAGAAGCCCACGGCCAACATTGCAGCTATCATGCGAATAAAGATGTCAGCGATATGATGGACCTTGCTCCCCAGACTCAACTCTGCAAGCACTGAAACCACTCCAGCCTAGGTTCAGCTGGCATTGGACGATGCTGTTCAGTACGAAATGGCAAGCGACACCCTCGTACGTGAAAGCATCGTTGCTCGGCATAAGGGCTTGGGATTCTACTACTTACGGTTTAGGTATGTTCAGGGTTTGTACGCATGATATAGGCGCTTGAAAATAACTAAAAGCAGTCCTCAAACCAAAGCGGACGGCGCAAGTCCCACAACCCCCTTCATCTGAATCCCCGAATCGCGAAGCATGCAGGAGCTTCAAGCACCGTTAATCCCTCACCATATAGCGGACTTAATGGTTAGAATAGGGTTCATAGGGGTCTATCGTAGTATACTTATATGCTGCCACCCCAAGAAATCATAGTGGTAATTTTTCCAGCGTTCTATTGAACCTACCTACATATGAGCTTGAAGCATGCGGTTTAGACAGCTTGCCAAGGCATGAGGGCTCAGAGCCGTCATAACTTGCGCAGTAAGCAGTTTAGGGTTCAAGTTTAGGGTTGAGGGTTGAGGGTTTAGGGTTTAGCAGGAAGCAGCATTTAGGGTTTGAGGGTTGGGGGTTTAGGGTTTAAGCTTTAGAGTTGAGGGTTTCGGATTTAGCAAAACCCCCCCCCATCCTAATGTTCAGTGAAGGTCCTGAAAGGATCTGAAAGGATTGGTTTTGCCAATCGGTGGTGGGACTGCTTTGGCAAAACCCAGGGTTTAGGGTTCGGCATTCCAGAGTCCCAAAACCCCTAAAGTTACACAAGCTACTATTTGCTTAAGAACCCCCAAAAAATAAAAAAAATATATTCCTTATAGGGATAATATAGGGATTATGTTCTTTTATTTTGGGGGGGGGTTCTTAAGCAAATAGTAGTAAAGTTACACAAGTTAAACCCTCAACCGAAACCCTTATGGCTTGGAGGGCGAATCAGCCGATAAATTAGGTCCCAGCCGGGCACGAACACCTGCCTGACATGGGTGGTCAGGTGCACCTCCGACGGCTTCGTGTCGGCATCTTCTGTGCTTGAAATGCCGTACACTAGGAGGCACAGTATGCTGCGGCAATACCTCTGGAGGACGTTCGTAGCGCCCTGAGGACCGGCAACTACGGCCGGGCCGGGTCTGTACTGCGGCACGAAGCTTAAGTGGACGTTCTGGGCGACCGCATGTGGGGGTCGCCTGCTTGTACATGGGGTGAAGTCTTCTTCTTAGTAGCCTAGGAGCGGGTATGTTGAGGTTCGGGGGTTTATGCAGAGGCCCTCACCTAAACCCTAAACCCCAAGCCCTGGCAGTTCGGAGGTGGTCGTGAGTAGAGTCGGAGCGAGGAAGCTGATAGTGTGGTCTTTAGTTTAATATAGGGGCCTGAATAGTTACCTGTACTATTTTGGCGGGCTCCTTATTCGAAATTTTTAGTATAATGGGCACCCGAACCCTATTCTAATTATTAACGCCACTATATTAGTTTACGTTGGTTTGTCAAGGGGGTTGGCTTCACGTCCTATTGGTGTGGTCTTCCTCCCCGATCCATCCCTCGGCCAAGCTTGGAATTCAATTCTGACACCTAACCAAGCAGAGGAAAGATTGCTAACAAAAGCTAAACCCGTGACGTTTGTGTTTAACATGTCTTTGGGCCTTCGCGAACTAAATGCGCAAAGCAGTCTGACGTTTACTGTGATACGCGCAAACCCAAACCTTAAACCGTAAAAGCCTTAAACCCTAAACCCTAGAGATCCCTTTAAAGGAACCCTTAGTTAATACCCTTTAAAGGAACCCTGTAAACCGTGAAAGCCCTAAAGCCCGAAGCTCTAAGCTCCGGAAACTCCAAAACCCCCCAAACCCCAAAGCGCTAAACGCTCCCAAGAAGGGCCCCTAGGCTCCATAGGGACTCATATAGGGTTCCTTTAAAGGGGATCTATAAGGGGTCCTTTAAAGGGATCTGTACGGTTTAGGGCTCCAAGATCTCATATCTTAAGGCTTTTGGGCCCATGGGCCATACTATACAAGGCTTTTATTTTGAGCCTTAGGGTAGTGTAGGGGCCTAAAGTAATGATTTCCGTTACTGTTTTTATTTGTTTTGCGGGGGGGACTCATTATAATTGCAGTAGAGTATACCCCAAAACACTGTTCTAATTATTAAGGTCCCTGTTGAAGTCGACCCCACTTTCCCAACTTCAGCAGAACCCTAAAACCCTGAACCCTGAACGCTGAGCCCTTCTAAGGTCGAGGCCTTAGAACAGCTTCCGCCACTTCCGCCTGTGGATGACGATGCGGAGTCTTCGCCGAAAGCAAAAGGCAACGGTTACTGTGGTTTAGGGTTTAATAAGGGTAGGCAATGTTTGGGGGTGAGGATTTACGGTTTCGGGTATTTAGGGCTTGCGGTTTGGACGGATACTTTAACGTTTGCCAGTACTCTTTGTATTCTCACACAGTGGAATTTCCAGGCTACAGTGATGCCCAGACCTTCCAAAATCCCTTAATAAAGGAATATACCTTAATTCATACTTGGGATCCTTTTTATGATTTAAGGTAAATTCCTTAATTAAGAGATTCTGGAAGGTCTGGGTGGGTAGTTGGGGTATATGGATCAGCCCAGACCTTCCAAAATCCCTTAAGGAATATACCTGAAATGATACTACAGGATCCGCAAGATGATCCTTAAGGTATATTCCTTAATTAAGGGATGGATCCATATGATCTTTAAGGTATATTCCTTAATTATGGGATTTTGGAAGGTCTGGGAGGTTTAGGGTTCGGTGTTCCGGCTTCGGTGTTCTGTTTTCGAGGCCAGCGGTATTCCTTTGCTCGAAGCGCCGGGGATCTTAGTAGGCATATGCCATTTATGGGAGTTTCCGAAAATAGGGACCCTAATATAGTACCTTAAATAGTAGGATCCTTATTATAGGGACCCCATATAAGGTACCCCTAATTCTCGGAAACTCCCTTATAGCCAAGGGGACAGTCTGCTTACAATCCAGCTTGAAACCTGAGTATTGGTTTAGGGTTTAGGATTTAGGGCTTGGGGTTTAGGGAGTTTCCAAGCCCCATGATTCCAAGACTTGACGGGTATATGTAGGTAGTTGTCAAACTCATGGCTCCTTTTTAAGATACTCTAAATAGTAGGTGCCGTATTATAATAAGGACCCAAAAAAGGGACCATAATTTTGACAATCGCCCATGTATGTAATTCTAAAACATGATCAAGTCGATTCAGCCGTTGCGTCCGAGGTTCCTGGCACATGTTCTCCACATGAATAACTTGCATTGTGTTGTAGGTTTTGATATTCAAAGGGTGACACAACCTTTCGAGGGGCCCCGAAAGAGAGCACTTTAGAGAAATAGCCGCACATCATTGTCAAAAGAGTACTGCATGGCATCAGCCCTCAACCGTAATCCCCAGAGTCCTTAACCCTTCAAAAGCGTTTTAAACCCTGAACCCTGCCTGCAGCTTTTCCCCTGCAGATTTACATGGTTCGACTTCGGGTTTTGGGGATTTATGGGTTTGGGGTTTAGGCCTTAAAGGGAACTCCAGAAAGTTGGAATATGGTTTCAGGGTAGGATACCTTCTTTTTTACCATGCAGGGTTTAGGATAATCATATTCCAACTTTCTGGCTTTTATAGGATTAGGGTGAACGGTTCGTTCCTTCCTATGTCAGGATTCTTGTCTTTCTCAAGCCTTCTCAATCCAAGGTTAAAGACGGCCGTAACCCAACATCAGCAGACCCAGAAAGCTCAATTCATCGCCACGCATGGGTGGTAGCATGTAGATACAACCCCAAGCAGAAAGCCTGAACCCTGAACCTCAAACCCTAAGCCCCAAACCGAAACCATAAATCCGACAAGGTTTTGCATTAAGTAGAATCATTACTTATTGGTCCGGAAGTTGGCCCCAAGCTCCGAAAACTTAAACCTTTAGCCAAGAACTCTAAAGTCCTAAAGTCAAGATTTTGTTGCGTTCAAACCCGATAGTTGAAAACCCGAAGCCAAGAACCCTTTATCAAACACCATAATTAAACCTTACAGCTTAAAAACCCTACAGTCTAAACCAAGAAGATGAAAGCCGATGCTCTGAAAGCCCATGCCGCTCTGCGAGTATGCCGCACATGTTTTGCAGGTTTGAAAAAATCCCGCGCCGCATCAGCCGCCCCAGTGTTGGCCCCATTTTTCAAGGTAATGGGTCAACCTTGCACGGAGCACCTTGAGCATGCGCCGCCGCAGTGTTCCAGCTGTTTGAGGTGACGGCCAACCCTGCCGAGCACCATGGTGGGTAAAACATTGCACCGAGCATCATGAGCATCAGCCGCCCAAGTGTTGCCGCATCTCAGAGTGGGGAAAACGTTGCACCGAGCATCATGAGCATCAGCCGCACCCGTGTTGCCGCATCTCAAGGAGGGCGGGCTTTGCACCGAGCATGATCGCAATCTGGCATAATCTGGCCTTCACGGCGACAGTGTTTCGCCAAGCATCATGAGCATCAGCCGCCGCAGTGCTGCTGCTGTTGGAGGGTGGGGCCAACCTTACACCGAGCATCATGAGCATCAGCCGCCTTGGTGTTGTCGCAGCTGTTTGAGGGTACGGCCAAGACTGCCTCATCAGCATCAGCCGCCCCAGTGTTGCAGCTGCTTGAGGGTATGGTTAAACCTGCCGAGCATTATGAGCATCAGCTGCCCAAGTGTTGCCGCATATCAGAGCGCGGAAAACATTGCACCGAACATCATGAACATCAGCTGCCCTCGTGTCGCGGCTGTTTGAGGGTATAGCCAAACCCGCGGAGCATCATGGGCATCAGCCTCTCCAGTGTTGCAGCGCCTCAGAGCATCATGAGCATCAGCCGCCTCAGTTTTGCAGCTGTTTGAGGTAGGGCCAACCTTACACCGAGCATCATGAGCCTCAGCCGTCTCAGTGTTGCAGCTGTTTGAAGGTACGGCCAAGCCCGCACCGAGCATCATGAGCATCAGCGGCCAAGTGTTGCCGAGTCTCAGAGAGCGGAAAAACATTGCACAAAACTTCATGAACATCAGCCGCCCCAGTGTTGCAGCTGTTTGACGTATGGCCCAACCTGCGAAACACCATGGGCATCAGCCTCTCCAGTGTTGCAGCGTCTCAGAGCATCATCAGCATCGGCCGCCTCAGTTGTGCAGCTGTTTCAGGTCGCCATACACCGACTTCCTAGTAGACGCTGGGACCTCTCATGCTGCGAAGTTTGAGCTTCTGAGTTTTCGTCGTTGGCCCTTCCTAGTTGTGAGTGTTGTCCGGACAATACAGCGGAGTTCGAAAGCCCTCAACATGAGACGATTCAATTTGTATACATCACCCTTGGATCCCAGCCTCGCAGACATCGATGAAAGGATCAGAGATTCTTGAACAGCTGTACTAACGCCTTCAGAAGGTGAATATGATGGAGTTTTAGAGAAGTTTGTGACAGTGGGTTCACAGTCAATGCGGGGCTTCTCATTGGGAAGTAGGGTGTTGATTCAAAACCCAACCCACATATATGCGCTAGACGCAGTCCATACCGCTCACCCTTACTCCTCAAACGACTCACGGGTGTTTCTGAACCCTCACGCGTGTCTAACATGGGGAAACATGCAAAAGGTTCTGGCTCGAAACGCCGGGCCAGCCTCGCTATCCGCGGGGACAGCCGGAGCCTCAATTTCTTAGGTTTCGTAGGCATGTGACGTGGCATGATGCGGCACCTGGCAGGTGTGTCCCTGGCGGATGAGATCTAGGCAGGGGCATCTAGTCCGCGCTGCGCCTGGCACATTAAAAAGTGCCAGTGTGCGCAGCGGTACGACGCCCCCGTGACAAAGCATCAGAAACAATTTCTAGGACACTTTAGCAGCGAAAGCCCCACGATGGATGTCAGACTCCCCCTGTGCTGCAGGTGACTCAAAGTGGCATTATGACGACCAAAGCAACTGTGTAGAGCTTAGCATCCTTAGCTTTTTTTGCACGGGGTTCCCGCGTTTGTCGCATTTGTGAACCTCTTGATTAACAAGCCCTGCGAAGCTCCAGCAGTGCTTCGCTTGGAAAAGTGACAGCCAATCTTGGAGCTGCTGCAATTTGAGTAGGGGCGACCTATTACTGTTCTGGGGAACCGGCATGTATGACTGCCTCTGTTGTCTGTAGGGCCATGGTCAAACAAGATGCCGCGCTCACGACCCCGCCTTAGCGTATCAAGCGTCATGAGCATCAGCCGTCTCAGTGTTGCAGCTGCTTGAGGGGACGGCCAAGGGTAGGTCCAACCCTTCACCGAGCAGCCGCTCCCTTTGCTGCCGCGCTTCAGGCGGGGAAAATGTTGCACGAAGCGTCATGAGCATCAGCCGCCCGAGTGCTGCGCCTCAAGGCGAAAACGTCACCGAGCATCATGAGCATCAGCCACTGCAGTGTTGCAGCTGTTTGAGGGCAGGGCCAACTTTGCACTTCGAATTATGAGCATCAATCATCCCAGTGTTGCAGTTGTGTGAGGGTTGGACACGCCTTGCAGAAAGCATCATGAGCATCATCCGCCCGAGTGCTGCCGCATCTGAAGGGGCTAACCTTGCACCGAGCACCATGAACATCAGCCGCCCCAGTGTTGTCGCGTCTCAATGTACGCCTAACCCATCACTGATCATCATAGACATTTGTAGCATCATGCGCACGAGCCGCCACTCCATTGCCACGGCTAACCCCGCCTCCGTGTTGCAGCTGTTTCCAGCCCTGCCGAGCATTGGCCGCCCCGTGTTGCAGATGTTTGAGTGTAGGGCCAACCGTTCAACGAGGACCATAATAGCCGCACCGGTGTTGCAACTATATAGCGCACAGTAGGGTACGCTCGGTAGCGAGCATCATGAGCATCGGTCGTCCAACTGCTGCAGATGTGCCACATCATGAGCATCAGCCGTGCACTGGTTGTGGCCAGGCCCCGCGAGCATCATGTGCATCAACCGTCCCAGTGGCTGGCTTTGAACAGTCGCACCCTGCCGCGATGTTGCAGGTGGTTTTTGGGCCAGGGGCAATGTTGTGCAAGCGTCAGCAGCATCAACCGCCCAACATTGCAGCTGCCACCGGGGTCAAAGAGCCAGCGGGCATCATGGGCATCAGCTGACCACTGCCCAGCAGCAAGCATCAGAAAACCCTCCGCTGCGCACTGACATCCTTTCACGGGGGCCTGAATTTGAATAGGCACCATGCAGTACTTTCTTTTTGGTCCCTTCGTCTTTCCTTTTTTACAATACAGTATAGCACCTACTGGTTATTGTGTCGGGCATCACACAGATGATAGAAACGAGTTGCCGAAACCTCAACGCCCAGTTCACTGCAAACCTCAAGCTTTCGCTTTCTCTAAATGGGTAGTTCTCTAAATTAGGTCCTTTTGGGGCTTTGGGTTCCTTTTTTTTATTTGGGTGCCGTACTATATTGGGGACCTAAAACGGGCCCCTAAATTTGGATAACTACACACGTTTTAACCTTTATAAACCTTGATCTCGAAAGGGCACGTATCGTAGGCCTTCAACCCTAAACCCCTAAACCTTAAACTTAGACCTTGCAACATTGTCCGCTCAACCCGAGCACCCATCCGACCCAAAACCCCAACCCCTGCACCCCAGGATCATGGGGCTTAGTAAGTGGGTTATAAATAAGGTAATTATACGTATAAGTATTTAGATCCCCAGTTAAGGCACTTATAACCTTACGTACTAAGTCCCACGATCCTCCAAGTTACCTTACCAGGTATCGATTTGGAAAAGTTGTTATGTCCCTTACTGCCTAATATAGATAGAGCCGTAAATTGCAGATAATTTTGGAACTGTTGAAACCAAAACCTAGCCTATGCTTGGGGTTAGGGTTGACGGTTTCAAGAGCTTTACGGTTTAGGGGTTTGGGGAGAGAAACCGGAAAATCGCGTAATGTGCCGTGGGCAATACTTTTTCACTGGTGCAGTGGTTAATCAGGCTAAACCTTTAATCTCCAGAATCCACCCCTGTAACCGTAAAACCGGAGTCCCATTTTCCTGACCCCAAACCCTAAACCATCCTCAAACCCTAGCCCTAAGGATCCAAAGGACTCAGGAGAGTATATGGGTGGTTGTCAAAATTAGGGCCCCTTTTTGGGTCCTTAATATAATACGGCGCCTATATACTATTCAGGGTACCCCAAATAGGGACCCTGACGTTGACAACCACCCATATGTTTATTAGGTATTTGGACCAGGTATTTGGATCCTTAGGGTACCCCCATCCGCCATCCTGAACGGGCAAGTAACATCCTAAGGCCGCCTCTTGTTCTGATTCCCCTATAGGGATTTCGGGGTGTAGGGCGTTTTTAGCGGTTTAGGGTTTGGGGGTATAGGGTCTAGGGCTTATACCAGTATAGTGAACCTCAGAAAGTTGGAAGACAGATTTAGGATGATTCATGCTTCGGTTCCCTATACTTTAAAGGCATGAGGCTAGTGATGTTCCAACTTTCTTGCTTCTACTGTATGTAACCCGGTACTCGCCATCCGAAGCAGAGTACGGGCATTTTGTGGGTTCAGGTAACATGGAGTGCGGAATAGTCCAAAATACGTTTCCCTCGGGCTCCTTAGTGCAAGTGTCGGACAAACAGCATAGAAGCATCGATGAACGTTTGCTCCAATCATTATGCCCTTGTAGTACGCCCTAGCTGGATCTTTTAAGGACTCATACAAGGAAATTATTTAGGGTCCAGGTATACCCTAAACCCTTAACCCTAAACCCCTAAATCCTAAAGCCCCAGCCTTTGCGTGCAGATCCGAAA